GGCCCCGGCGCGGGCCCTGTGCCGCGCCCCGCCGCTCCAGCCCCCGCCGCGGAGGCGGGTTGTGAGCCTGGCCGTGTCCCCCACCGCCGGCCTGGCGGACGAGCGGGTGGAGACGCGGGTGGCGGGGCTGGGCCCGGGGCAGCCGGTCACCCTGCGGGCTGTGGCGGCCGATGAGAGCGGCTGCCTCTTCCAGTCGTGCGCGCACTACCGGGCGGACGGCCGCGGAGAGCTGCACCTGGGCACCGACGCCTCGCACGGCGGGGACTACACCGGCGTGGAGCCCATGGGGCTCTTCTGGAGCCTCGCCCCCGCCGGCATGGAGAAGCCCTACCAGCGGCTCCTGCCCCGCAGCACCGGCACCCCGATGAAGGTGGAGATGTTGGTCCACCAAGGCCACAGCCATCCCGGCGCTATTCCCGGGCCGGTGGTGGCCAAGGCCGAGGTGGAGAGGTGGTTCACGGCCCCCGGCGTGCGGAGGATCCGGCTGAAGGAGGGAGGCGTAAGGGGTTCCCTCTTCCTGCCGCCGGGTGAGTGCCCCGGCCGGAGACCAGTGCCCTGGGGCCGGCGGGAGCCCCAGGCTTCTCCTTCCAGGGCAAGGAAAGTCTCTTTTAAAAGAAAAGCTTAACAAGGACATCACTTGCGAAATCTGTATTCCGTAATAGATCTGAACGCCGCCCTGCAGACAGGTGGCAGGTGGTTTTTTTCCCCTTGAAATCTTACGGAGATGCTCCCAAAGGCTTGTCGAGACATGGCCCTGCTTGTGCGTGGGGACACAGCCTGTCCTCATCACAGCCTGGTGTTCATCATGACCTGGTCCTCGTTGGTGGCAGCGGGCAGGGCAGGTGGCTCTTTTGAGACAGGCAGAAGCCAAGTGAGAATAGGGATGCAGGAGATCACCGTGTCGCTGCTTTCAGTTTATGTTTCTTCAGTAGGTTTGATGTTTCTCTGGACTATCAGCACCTGTAACATTCAGAAAATCTGATAACACCTCGTTGTGGGAGCCGGTGCTAAATCTCCCAGGGATTTTGCCCTCAGTTGGATTGAATCAAAAAGGTGTTTTTCTTCCCTGTGAAACAAAGCGGAGCAGTGGAAGAGATTCTAGAAAAATATAGCTATTCCACCTCTGTTACACAAGAGCCAAAGCTAAGTTAATAATTGAGTTACTTTGGTTGTTCTGTGGTATAAAGGCGAAATAGATTTCTGAGCAAGTTCTACCTGTTCTGCTGGTGAGATAGTTGTGCTTTATGAGGTGTGTGATTCTGGTGGACTGCTGGTGCTGTTGGAAAATGAAACCTTTCACTGATGATGGTGTTTGTACACTTGAGCCTTGATTTAAACTTCTCGTATGTCCCCAGGTGTTGTGCTACTACAACCGCCCTCCATATTACCTCTAATTTATAATTACTTGATTCAGCAAATCCTGTAATTACCATTACATTTATTAGGGATTTAAGTATTTTCAGTGAATGATTTCCAAACCAATACTCTTTTTATCCGTTTAGATAGAAATCCAAAGTCCACTGAAGAAAAAAACAACAGAGATTGAACTTTGAATTTTAGATCAAATGTTCAGTCAGCATTCTGGATTTTCCATCACTGGGACATGGTTGTTTTGATATATCCTGCCCTAGAGGATGAGCTGGATTTCTGCTGAGCTAAGTGGGAATCCAGAGATCCACGAGATGGAACTGCATTTTTCCATTTAGAAAGTCTCACACTGTAATAGTGTGGAAAAGTTTGGAATCACTGCTTAAGTGATGCTGGCATCCTTCTTGATGGAAGATCCAGTTACAGCATTACTATTCGTACCTTTCTTTGCTCCAGGGATGGAAAGTCTTAGTATTATTAAGATAGGAATCTTAAAAGTGAATTGTTCTTAGTAAAAGTGAGATGACATCGGTGGGCTTACACTGTAATTTTAGTATTGAAAAAGATTTCACAATTCAGGCATAGGAGTTGCAGGTATGGTGGAGGGTGGTATGCAGGGGTGGTTTGCTTTTAAGCAATACTAAAGTTGTCTAACCCACTTTATCCTGCTTTTTAGTGAGCTATGCAAAATTGTATACTTGGGCATGTGTAGGTACTGAGGAAGGCAGTCCAGGATCCTTGTGTAAGTTAAAGGTTGTCTTCATGAGAGAGAAATCATTCATGCTTGACTCTGTTCTGATCACATGTTCTTGCTAGAAAGCTTTCCAGGTAAGGGTGACAGATGAATGAATACTTCTTTTTTTTTTTTTTTTTTTTTTTTTTCAGCCATCTAGGGTGACTGTTGTTAGCTAAAGGATACTGTTGATCATGGCATTATGATAAATTTATGCAGACATATTGTCTCTACAGCAGAATATCGAACTTCTGTAAAAAATTTCAGAACTGAAAGAAAAAAAAAAACCCAAAAGCATGTTTCAGTCCTTTTCTGACTTCCTAATGCTTTAAGTTAGGAGGTTTCCACCATCTAACATGTCTTGTCCAAAACTTCATATTCTCAAGCACCTTGAAATGGCAGAGATCTTTTTTGTTGTTGTTTTTTTTTTTTTTTTAATTGCATATAGGTAATGTCAGAGAGTGAACCCAATCTTGCACAAGCAGGTACTTTTTCTGAGATAGTTATAGTGAGCTGGAGCCAAGTACATCAGTGGTGACATCTGCTGGCCAGGAAAAAGAAGAGTAAAAAAAAGAAATTGCCAGCCTGGGCTCTTTAGTCCCCAGTCCTCTTTAGTCCCCTGAGCCTTTTAACTCAAGATCTGCTGGCATGGCACACAGCGATATCGCAACACGACCTTGGCTGCAAAAGCATGCTCATATAAAATTGTGATTCTCATTATTTTTGCAGTTTTGTGGGATTAATTGTACACCTGTAGAGGCATGTTTATCTGTATATCAGTCACCGCACCCGTAAAGCTCTCAATTTTACCCTGTTTCTTCACATCTGCAGTGGCAGTTCTGCTGCCAAGTGTCACAGCGGTGATGCTGAGACAGAGCTAGAAAGTCCAGTTAATGTCATGTGGCAACGGGTGTTTCTTTGCTCTGCTTTGCTCAATGCACCTTATTCCAGAGTTTGCGAAAGTTTTGTAGAATTGACTTTCAGTGCTCTTGCCTCATTAGTAATGAGCTTGCACTTTGCTAAATAAGGTATGGCTTCTTTGTGTGAAAAGAGCTGATTTAGAGTATGATTGTCCTGAGAGTGGGAGGTTAAGACCATTGGAAAAAAAAAACACATTTAGAACAGTTTCTTTTTAAAAATCAAGTTTAACTGTTCACATATTTTTACAGGAAGGTAAGGACCTATTCCTAGGTTCTCTAATCTCTGCTGTGCAAATGGAAAAAAAATTAAGAGTATTAATAGAAAATGTCTCAAGCCTTCTGCATTTTGATATTCAGTCTTCACCAGACAGTTTTTAGTGTCCTGTTTGATAACTTCTCCTCCGTACCTCTTCTTTTTAATATAGGGGATGGCCCGTTTCCAGGAGTGATTGACATGTATGGTGATGAAGGAGGTTTGATTGAATTTAGATCCAGCCTCCTGGCTACCCGTGGTTTTGCTGCCCTTTCTCTGCCATATTTTGACTTTGAAGATCTGCCTAAGGTCATGAAAGAATTCAAACTCGAGTACTTTGAGGAGGCAGCTAGATTCCTGCAGCGTCACCCGAAGGTGAGTGTAATGAGACATCTCTCAGGACAAGGGAGGATTCAGCAGCCATGCCCAAGTGGTGGCGGGGGTTTTTTTTTTTTTCTCCAGCACAAACTGTTAAATAAATTCATGCTGGAAACTAGAACGTTTCTGATCATTAGAAGAGTGAAGGGGTGGAATATCCTCCAAATGGGAGCAGTGGTGATAAAGATGAGATTTTCTAAAATGAAAGCAGAGGATGATACAAAACTGATCAACAGTCAGCAAAGGAATGGATTTGATGACTTGGGATATTGCTTTCAGTTTTACTTTCCAGGCTAGAAAAGGACAAGACTAAATACTACTTACTTAATCCTTCAGGTGTCATTTGTGAGCTTACTTTATTTGCCTGAGACACATAGAGCAATAGACTATGCTTGAATTTTCTGCTACCTATTTTGGGAAAAAGAGAAAATATTTGCATCAAAATATGCAGTAGGGACTAGGTGGGGTCCAAATGATGGTAATTTTTGTGCCTGTCTGTGTAATTTTGTGGGCTTTCACAGCTCTTTTTGGCTCTGAAAAATGAGACACTAAACAGAGGGAGGAGCCAGGGTCCAGGCTGCAGCTTTCCAACAGGTCACATCAATAATTAACCTTTTCTTTTCCTTGGATTGTTTGTGGTTTTTTTTTAATAACACAACAAAGGCATTTAATGGATAATCCCATTATAATGTATACTTTCTTAATGCCTTTCTTCCTGTCTTCCCCACCCCTATCTTATCTGAAGGTGAAGGGACCAGGAGTTGGAGTGATCGGGACTGGGAAAGGGGCAGAATTAGCACTTTCCATGATCACCTTCCTGCCAGAAGTAGTGGCTGCTGTCTGTATCTCTGGCTGTAGTTCCAACACAGTTGCAGACCTCCATTATGGTGAGATGACTCTGCCCGCGTTGCGTTTTGATATGAATAAGGTCAGTGTTTCTGAAGCTGGTGTATTTGACACTTTTGAAGCTCTGGATGACCCAACAAATCCTGCTAATTCTCCTTGTGTGATCCCCATTGAAAAAGCAAAAGGTCACTTTCTCTTAGTGGTAGGGGAAGGCGATCGTGTGTGGAAGAGCTCCTTATATGCTCAGCTGGCAATCGGGCGTCTACGCCAGCATGGAAAAGAAAACTTTGAACTTTTGAGTTATCCAGGAGCAGGTCACCGAATCGATCCTCCTTCTACTCCCTTTTGTCAGGTAGCTCTGGATCGTGTTCTGGGGGTGCCTGTTCTGGGGGGTGGAGAGAGCAAAGCACATGCCCACGCACAGGAACACTCCTGGGGAAAGATTCAGGAGTTTCTGCACTTGCACTTGGGATGAACACTTAAGCACCTGCAAGCTGTTGCAGAACTGCAGAGGACTGAGCTTGAGCCACCAAAATGACTGGTGAATTGGAGGGACTGACTGAGAAAAGCTTTGAAATATGAAATAACCAAATGACTACTCAGCTACAAGTATAAATCCAAAAAGAAAGGGATGTATTTAGACCAGTCTAACTTGTTTTAACTAGGTACACAGAGGAGAAGTGGAACAATGACAAGTGGGCTGCATTGCAGCATGAATTTGACAGCCTGAATTGGTCATGGTATCAAGAAACAAGTATCTGAAGAGAGTAGTAGGTACTTTCTTGCTTGCAGTATTTATGACTGAGAGAATTTACCAGCCAGCCTGCACCCTCAGCAATGACAGACTAGATTGCAACTGGGGAGTGATGGCAACCCACGGATGATACACTTTGATAACAAAATGATGAATGATTCTGGCTTTGAGTCTGAAGTTACCTTAGCCCAGAATGCTCAGATTTACAGCCGTACACAGTTTGGAAATGTTTTCTATTTACCTGAAGCTGGGGATACCTATATGTAATGAGTCTTGTATACCATGACCTTAGGTAGTGGTCTTCTGGTGACAGTCTGTTTCTTTCCAACAAAAACTACCTGTAGAGTGGGAAAACAAAGAGTACTTTTCCTGACATCCCAGGAGAATGGCAGTACTAGCACTATCTTGTGTTAGGGATGTAACCATCTCTTCCTATCATGTCTTGGATTGGCTTTTGACACTCGGTATTAAAATTCTGTTGGATAGGTTAAAGGATGGTTAAATGCAGTTGTGCTATGTGTAACTCCTTTGTTGCTTATTTTAAATTAATAACACCTGCTTTTAAGTTAGGGATTAATTACTCATGGAACTCTAGTAATGATGCCAACAGATGCTGAACAGCTGTTCTTGGGGAGGAAGCAAAGTTAAGAGACAGAAAATGTAGCAGGAGATTGACTGTAAAAAGCTGTCACCTTATGGCTATGATTATCTTAGAATCACAACTACTTAAACAAACCAACAGCTTTCCTCCACCCCTCCTTAAAAAAAAAAAACCAACCCAAACTCAAATCCGTGATATCATTTCTATGACTGCCTGAGATTGGGTGGGTTTTTTTCATCCTAACTAATTTTTGGCAAGTGCCTCGTTTTTCCCCACCTTTCAGGTAGAAAGAAACAACTTCTTCCCAAATGAGCTGATCTCTCAAGAGGGTCTTGCTGGAGTGGTGCCAGCGCTGAAGGCCTGTTGAACAAGGGCCTCTGTCAATACAATTTCTCCTTCCACGAGGTCATTTTGTCAGACCAGTTTGAGAGCTGCCCAGGAGGATACAAAGCCTTCATTCATGGTACTGAATTTTGCCTTGCTCTCAGGGATCTTTTCTCTCCAGTTAACTGTCATTATGCTGCTGCTCAGGTCTCGTGAGTTTTCTGCAACTCTTATTACTCCTTATCATTTGATTGAAGTCATGTATTCTCCACGCGCCATCACTGCCAATCGAACCATTTATCCGTCCACTCCCTACAAGAGAAGCTCCATCCTGCTCACTCCGCACAAAACCTCTTCCCGCCTCGTCTCTCTGCGCTCTCTCCCTGCCTGAAGAGCCCTTTGCACAGTCGTACCTGACTTGAACCTCCATAAAACCACCAGCCGCAGAAGTCCAGGACCACGGCCTGCTGCGACGCGCGTGTTGGTGTCACCCATGCTTGGTATCCTGCCTTTTTTTTCCCCAAAACTCACTCCAAGTGGCAACCCCAGAGGAAAGGGTTGTCTGAAGGTTTCCTTTTGTCTGAAGGTTTCCCTGCCTCGTGTGCATCTTCAGCAGTGGGAGCTGTGTCTGTTACCACCCGTGTCCCCACACCACCTTCCTACCTCAGTGTAGCCACTGCCACACGAGATGGCAGGCGGGATGTTGGGGGAGTAAATGTTAAGTTGTAAATAAACCAAAGCCCAGGTACCTTAAAAGTCCTCAGACTACATTTCTAAAGCACAAGCCTTTGAGGTCATGCGGTGTGAGATGCCGTTGGATACATGCAATTTGAAAGGGTAAAATGCTTCCTGTGTTAAAAAGCGAGGCTGTGTAAGAAAATGAGGTGATGTTTTTGTTTCTGAATGGTTTGTTTGCTTGGAAAACCGAATGTTTTTGTTGTTTTTTTTTTAAACAAAGAAGAGAGGAAAAATAAGAGGGATGTAATTTTACTATGAAGGTCCTTGTGAGGATAGGCCTGGAAAAAATTAACGGCTAAACGATCTGTTGAAAACCAGCCCATTTTGCACTAGGGTTTGTGTACTCACGGTGCCGCTCGGGGACGCGCCGCGGGCAATGTAGCAGTGTCCTGGAGCACACATTAAACCCGGTCTCTGGTGACGGCCTCGCCTCAAGCTGTGTCATTTACCTCAGAGCCCCAGCGGCCGCTGTCACACGCTGTTGCTGGGTTGCCCAAAGCTGGGGGGAGGTTCTGAGGTGCCCCGGGGTGGCCGAGCAGGCCTGTGGCCCGGGCCTGGCGGTGGGACGCCGTCTGTTATTTGCCAGCGGTTGTATTTGCTAACGGTTTTCCCAGCCCGGTTCCACTGACGGGCTCACCGTGACGGGGGGGAGGCCCCCCGCCAGGGGGCGCCCACCGGGAAGGGCCGCTCCGCCTCCTCCCGCCCCCGACGCCACTTCCGGGATGGGGCCGTCCCTGCGGCAGCGCCGCTCTAGGGTCGCCAGGTGCGGCCGCCGCGCTCGCGCCCCACCCGCCTCACGTGTCGGCGGCGCTGCGCGTGCGCGGGAGGCGGGCGCGCCCTAGCAACCGGAGCGTTAACGGTAGCAACGGCCATGGTGGGTCCCCTCAGCGCCGCCGCGGGCACCCAGCGGGGCGGGCGGCCGAGCGGCTGCTGGGGGGGGCTTGGGGAGAGGCTGAGCTGGGGCGTCCCCGCCACTTGGGGGGGGCGACGGGGGGGGACACGACGAGCGGGGCCTGCTCGGGGCTGGGGGAGCGGCGTCTCCTCAGGGCTGCCCCCGAGCAGTCCCCGGTGCTGCGTGAGCGGCAGCAGCGCGGAACAGAGCCCTTGGCGGCCCGGGGCTCCTCCGAGCCGGTCTCCGGTGCTGGGCAGCCCGGGCACGGCATCAGCTGGGCAGGAGGCTGCTCGGTGCCCGGGGCCTGGGCTACGGCGGGGAGTTGGGGCCTGTCACTGTGCCTTGGGGAGGGGGGGTCAGAGAGGGATGCCCAAACTAGAGTCCTGTTTTTGTAGGTCAGTTTTTGTGAAAGATCGGTCTCTGGAAGCTTTTTAATCTGAAAGGCATCTTGGAAAATGTATAACGCTTAGGATATATCACAATTTCTCTATAGACTGCTGTTTGGGATATTGTCACTGGGTTTTGATAAGACTCTGGTGTAAGGCAGGAGATCTGGAGCCAGGGACAACACAAAGTTGGTCAGCGGGTCAGTCCTTAAAAAGCCATGTGAGGCAGCTCTCTGATTTTTCCTGACTGAATAATACGTGTTCTCACACTGCATGATGTGACTCGACATAAAACAGTTGGAGAAGAAACAATATAAGCAATGGCTGTCACTCTTGATTTTTGGCAAGATGTACCTTATTTTCCTCAATGAGTCTGAAGAGGCTGCATCATTCTGTCAACTCACAGCCTTGCTTTCAGGCAGGAAGTTGCTAATGCACAACAATAGAAAGTGCGGGGGTTTTAAGAGCATTAGACCACATTTTTCAGCGCAGTAACTTCTTATGTCTTTGAATTGAATTGAATTGAATTTCACCACCAAAGCTCACAAGCAGTGTCCCAGGGCAGAGAGTAAGATCAGGAAGATAATGACCTTACGTGAAGCCAAATAATTGCTTCCGAAAATGCTACCAAGTCCCCCAGAAAATAAAATTACAAGACACTGAGGGGATCCAGCATCTTCAGCTCAGCTGGAAGAAGATAATACAGGAAAGTGGTAGAAGGGGGTAGACAAGCGGATAGGGAGAGAGATGGGAGAGGAGATAGGTGTGCAGTGAACAAGTCAACTAGAAATTTGCAATAAATATTCTTTAAATTTCTTTCATTTTTAGGCAAAAGCAACAACTATCAAGGACGCTCTGGCCAAATGGGTAAGTATAACAGTATTTAGCTGCTTTGCAGTGCTTTGTGGCATGGGTTTTGACTATATTCAGCTAAATTTATTTTTTAAACTTATTGTAAGAAATATGTTTGCTTGAAACATCTGCTATAATAAGTTCCACAAAGTAAAAATTTTACTATTACTATTGATGTATAATATGTTGGCCTTTCTGTTTGTTCTTGTTAAATTGATAAAGCTGGTAAAGATGAGTCTGTTTTCTCTCCTGCCTTGTTCTGCTGAATGCGTATTGATATAAGGCCTGAGACTACAGAGAGATTTAAAGTTGGGAATGTCTTCTGTTTTAATTATGCTCTGTTGATTTTACCTGAGTGTAGCCCTTCTGCAAGTATGAAATTCTCACTGTACTGAAGTCAGTGAAGCTTCTACTATGGTCTTTTAACATACTGTCCCTCATATCACACAGAGCTTAACCCCAAATGAGTTTATTGCTTGGTTTTCTTCTTAAAACATTGTGTAAATGCAGACACTCATTTGGAGTAGTGACTGACCTGGTCTTGGAGCCTTCTAGAAAGCTGTTTGTTGGCCAGAATGTGCATGTAATTTCAAATGATGATACAGGATGCTCTGGGGTCGAGTGCACAGTCCAGTAAAACCAGTGAGACTCTTTCCCCAGGCTGAGTGAATCTTGGATCAGGGCACAGATGTGCTGTTTGGTATCCGTGCACTCTGCCGCTAATTCTGGCCAGCTGCTAGAACAAGCAAGGCTTATCAGCCGGTGTAGAAGATCTGGATGTGAGGCAGTGTGGGCAGGGACAGTTGAAAGCCAGAAGATCTGTACCATCCACTCCAGGTACTGGTCTGTAATTGAAGACTACATCCTTTTTGAATTTATCATTGCTTAGTACCTTCAGTATTTCATTCTTTTCCGGTTATATTGGTATCCCACAAACTTTATTCCTTCTAGTAAGAACTAGAATGCAACAACTTGCAGACATTAGCACTAGTAGAGGTGCAAACTGAGTATTAAAAAGTTTTCCTCCCTCGCTCTTTCTGCCCTCCAAAACCTCAACTCCATGTTTCCTATTAAAGGTTTATTTTCCTTTTGCTCCTCTGTCACATGTCTCTTAGAGATAATTGACCTGTGCCAGTGACTTTCCATTAACGTTAGGCATGAAGTGCTGAATTTGCTTTTCTGATCATGTTATTGGGGGTGGGTTTAAATCTTCCTTGTACTAGTCCTAATCTGGGTCCATGTGACTTATAAAATTGGTGGTGTGTTGCATTCCGGATGTTTTTCTTCCCTTTGGCATAAGGGTTTACCTATGCCCTACAGTCAGGGTGACATTAGTTAAATCCAAGGACCTTTAAACTAGCAAATATATAACCTGTTGTTAAAAAAGTGTCTGTTTTACCTGTGGTTTCTCTGTGGCTTTTTGTGGTCGTTCTTCCAGAAGTGCGTGCCAATCAGGATGAATTTTCTTCGTGAAGGTGCTCACTGCCTGCCACAGTCTGTAGCTCTCTCCCTGTCACATTTTCAAGAAAAAATGTATTTTTTCCGAGAATTCTGACCAATCATTATGAACTGAATATAAATGCAAATAGATACAGTGTTGTTCTTAGAAAAGAAAACATAAGATTCACATTTATATAGTGACTTAGGTTGAACGCGTTCACCATATTCTAGCAAAACATCTGACATGCTTACTTGCTACATCGCTAATTATGAGTAAAATATTATCACACTGAATTCGGACAGAATATAAGTAAAAGCACAAGGTAATGTGCTATTTTTTTATTAAATTAAGTTGCCTGAAGTATTTTGGGTACGTAAGAGAGAAAATAACATTTTCAAAACCTGATCTTGTGCCGTGGGATTCTTAAAGGCTGCTGGGATGCAGTTCATTTCATTACAAAGTAGCCATATAAACCAGGCCAGACCTCAGCTATCTCACTTTTCAGTAGCTGCATAGAAATGGGGGAGAAAACAAGAGCCCTTGTTCTGAACGCGCAGAGGAGGTTTCTCCTTTGTTAATGGACCTCCAGTTCTCCCACTGAACACTGAGTGAATTCACAAAAACGCTTCCTTTGTGCTGCCAGGGAGGCAGCTGTCAAAACTGGTGGTACTACCTAAACACATACTTGTTCCAAGTGTTTAGTCAATAAATACCATTGCCTCAGAATTTTAAAAGATTTAATAGACTATATTTTTTTAATAAACTCAAATGCTTAACTTATGGCAATTTTTCTAACAGTCTGAACTTTATAGTATTTAATCTAGAAAATTATCAACCTAGGTTGTAAATAGGAAATTTGTCTTTTACTGTACTCTCTAAAGTGTGAAATCCTCCTCCACTGTTTTTTAATGGCCAATTAGAACGTATTTAATTTTTTTAGATTCTTAACTCTGTGAATCTATTGAGGTTCTCCCCCAAAACGCATTCTGCTGTGTTCAGTTTGTGTTGTGAGTTCAGTGTGAGTTCTGAGTTTTCAGGGTGAAGTGGGAAGGAGATTTTTCTGTCAGAGCTTTTAAGAATTGGCTTCTGCTACAGACTGGCCCTAGTTGGGGCTCCTGTATGTCAGTGTCCATGGAAGTACCTTTATTCAGAATTTTAAAACTCATCTATTCTCCATTTCTTTATGGCAGAGGACCCCTTAATTAAATTCCTCAAAAGTAACACAACTTTTTTTAAAAAAGCATACGTAATGTATAAGTTCTTTTGATATCTTGAAAATAAGCTAGTCTTCCCTTTTTGTGCTACACCAACAGGAGTCTTGATAAACAGTGTTCAAAATGCTTTAACTTTTCAGTAACATCTTCTAGTAATATATTGAAATTACTTCTATAGTAATTCTCAGTAATTGCGTGTAGCAGTGAGCCTCTTCTTCACCTTCTTTTTTCTTTAGGAAGAAAAAAATGGCCAGAAGGCTTCAGAGGCAAAGGAGGTGAAACTGTATGGTCAGATTCCTCCTGTCGAAACGATGGATGAATCTCTCTCCACGCTTGTTAACTGCGAGTAAGTTCAGTTAAAAACAAGTTGGAAACCAAATATTCTCTTCTCTTTTTATTAATTTTCAGTTTTTCTGCTGTCCACTGTGCAAATATGCATTTACTATGTTTAAGTGTGGCCTTCAAAGCAGCAGCTTTCTCTTCTTTTTTCTGAGCTGAGCTTCTCTTTCCATACACAGTTCCTCTTCCTCTGTTTAATTCAAAGATCCCTGTCACTTAACTGAGAAGGTGTTAGGGTAGATTCTGTATTGATATTTGTCCCCAGAAAAATTAGATACTGTTTATCAGTATATAATTACAGGTCCGTTTAGGAGTCTGTCAGCTAACTGGCACATTTATGATCCATTCCAAAATTTATGCAAAAAAAAGAAAAAAAAGAAGGCTTAAGCAGGACTTCCAGAAAGAGATTAGTGCCATTTCAGAAGTAAACCTTGATGCATTTGATAAGGCTAGGCATGAAAAGATAATCTGGTGTGGCATGTCAGTAACTTACGGTACTTTCCCAGAAGCTAAATAAAGTTGCAGAAGTCTTGATGGTTTGAGGATATTTTGAGTCTGTTGTTCATTAGATAATGAGAGAAGACTAGACAATTGTTTCCAATGCAACGGTGTTTGGGCATAGAACTCTTCTGATATAGTGATCCCTTGTACACTGTGAATTGATTATTCTTCCTTTTAAAGGAAACTATCGCTGTCTACAAACCGCATTGAAAGAATCGCCAACTTGAACAGCCTAAGTAAGTGACAAGCCAGTGATCCATTATGTTTGTTTTCTAGTTGCCTGGATGGGACATACACCATAATTTCTTATATGTCTCCAGCTTTATACCTATTCTTACCCTTTTTAATTTCTTCCTCTTAGAAAATGACAAGGGACATTTAAATTCACAGTCTTACTGGAGAATGCATGTTTGGCAATAATGGTGTATTAAAGCACATAATTCCTTGTAAGGCAGTTGTCTCACTGTGCAAGTTTTAATAAAAAATCCATTAAGAAAGCACCTTTGTAACTTCCAGTGGGCCCGAGTTCTGATGTTCCAAACCTAATCCGTTCTAGAGTGATTTAATGACCGATTTCCATGCTCATGATGGAGACAGCCTGCAGTTCAACAACCTGTACTTGTGGTATCAGTTGGAGTGAGGTAGATTTGGATGGAAAAATGCCATTCTACTTTGCAGAGGACTGGATATACTTGGTTTGATTTTGTTCATACTTGAAAGGGGCCTGCCATCTCTCTAGAAGTGGAACTGAACTTTGATTTTATGGGCAGGTGTCTATGACACCTTGAAACTCATTGGCTTACTGATTTTTGGACAAAAGTTTTAGTGGTCTGTCCTTCAGACTTTGACGCTGTGGCATGAGACTTGCAAAGAGCTGCAGGTTTTGGGCTGGAGCTTCCAGGCTTTTCTGTCCCGATCAAATTGCCAGGTGGACAGACAAGGAACCTGGAATCCCATCCTCTCCAACTGCATGCCAGAGGGGCTGTCAATGAGCTTGATGAACTCACTTGTTTTCATAATATTCTCAGACTTCAACAAATTTGAAATACTAATCAGGGAAAAAATATTCCAGTATTCTTTCCAAATAACTGTAGTGTAATATTTCAATTAGAGTAACTCTATCATGAGCAAAAATAATTAGGCAGTTATAAATATAAGTGAAACCAATGAAATTTTGTAGTGGGATAAAACATTAAAGCCTTTAAAGCACCTTAAATATTTATATTAATAAAACATAGAATGAAAACATCCAGTCTGTACTAAATATTTCATCCTGAAATGATCCAGACAAACTGGAACTACATGGTCTGTCTCTTCAAGGTACAGAATATGAGGAACTCACCATCTCTTATTGGCCTCTGTGAAAGGGAGAGAAAGCAGTGCTTATAGCTATGAAAAACAGCCAGTAATTATTACGTATTTGCTTTTGCTTGTTACAGAGAGGAAGCTGAGAAATCTTTTTAAGCATCTACACTCTTTTCAGATGGAAAAGATTACTGTTAATGTATGTACCTGATACTGTAGTTATGTCAAGTAGATAATTCTGTGTAAAGGATCACACCCTATATCTGTACATGTCAGAAAGATGTTTTAGATGACAGAAACAAGTGTTAGTTTTGTGTTTTAGAGATTGTAAATGTTCTATGAGGGAGGTCTTTCTTCCTTTAATATATAGAATTTCTCAGAACCAGAGTCATAAAAAACAGTAACAGAGTTAGAAACAATTTTTGGTTTAGAATATTTGCCAGGTGTGGTTTTATCAGGTGTGGTTTCATCCCTGCATTTCTTGAGACAGAACACAGGACTGTATTCTAGATCAGCCTTGAATCTTCATCCACAGCAATCAGCTGCTACACATGCTCTCTGTGGAGTATCTGTTGATACTTGGCTGGAACTTTCATTGGTCTTGCCTTTTCTTATTGTACTATGTGTTTTTTTAATCATTATGCATACAAGAGCAAAACAAGATCATTTCATATATAATATTTCATCCTTAATGCAGTTAAGAAGAAGTGTTAAAACATTCATGAAAGGTATGGATGCAAAGTTAACCCAGCTAAATGCTGGAACTCAGTTTGCTTATTTACACCTGCAAGAATGTTTGTGTGAAAAATTAAAATGAGTTACACAAAAAGACTGCTATTTTTTGATAGCTTTGAGTTACACTGGTATCACACTAAACCCCAGCAAGAACAGCTCACTTGGAAAGGAGGTTTGTCTGGGTGCTAGATGGAGTTGAAATGTCTCTCATCAGACTTCGGTAAGGCAGCTTTAAATGCTGTCTCTATTATAGAAATCAAATCTGCTGCCTTAAGATAAGATTGGAAGAACTTTTGCCTGGAGAAGAAGGGGTATGAACTATGTAAGATCAAAACTAGCAAGTTAGCAGTTAGAGTTCAGGTGCAAGGTGAATTATTCAGTATTTATCTAGACTGAATTTGAACCAGGTAACCTACACGAGTAGCTCTGTATTCACGAGCGTGTTTCCGAGCTGCCCACTGCATCCATTCCTCACTATCTGTATAGGTCAAGAGGTTTTATTTCTGTTACTTCATTCTTTCTTAAAACAGCCTTTTCAGAGTGCAGTTTGCTTGTAAGTGGACTTAGAGCATCTTCTTATACTTAGGAAAAAACACCACTTATTAACAATAAACTTTCTTTTATTTATTACAGAAAATTTGAAGATTCTGTCTTTGGGAAGAAATAACATAAAGAACTTGAATGGATTGGTATGCGCTTCTCAGTGTCCATTCTTTGCTAACAAATGGAGCGCTGTCTAGAACGTGGGATAATTCCCCTGTGTTCATAAGAGTCTTTGCTGAATTTACATTGTTGCCCTAACCATTTATTTTGTCCTTTCACTGTGATCTGTTCATAATGCTTCTACATTTTCAGATAGTCTTTCTCTTTTTTTTTTTTTTGTTCAAAAACTTTTCATGCTCGGAGATTCTTCAAGGCTAATTTACTACATAAAAGGATTTTAGAAAGAGGGATTTTGTTGTCTTTGACAAGATGAGCATAGCTTTTATTTGAAAACGGCTGTCTGTCTGTAATTCCACTGCTTTACATGAAAATAATTCCTACAGACTTTTTGCAGGAGGAATTTTTTACCTGAAGATACTTAAGCTTTGCTTCTTTACTACATATATTGGCACTCCTACGAACCCACACTTCATGAGACTTTGTCCTTTTTATGTTAACTGGCACCTGCAGCAATATGGCTTTAGAGGAGAAGATGGTGGCAGGACCAGGTAGAGGAAAAGTTGTTGAGGAAAAAAATCCAATCAATTTTGTTGCATTTAAATTAAGGGCAGAAGAACTTTTTTCAACCAACCTTTTTTTAATGAGTATAGAATGAGTATCGAATTTTCTTCCTGAAGAGGTACCGTATGTTTCTCCTGCAGAAGGCTTCTCTTCAAAGCTATTCCTGCCTTCAGAGATGCTGTATCTCTTAAGTGTGAAATGCAGAATCAATGTGTAACGGCTGGTTTAAAAACCTTCTCTTTTGAGAGAATTATGAAAACAACTTCTGGTCAACAGGTACAAACATATGTGCACCTGAAATGAATCATTCCCTCATATTGTAGAAGACACCCTGTAAAGTAGTTGTTGAATTGCATTCACTTCACATATACTTGCTGTGACAAGCAGCCAAATCTGTCTCCTCTGCCCCTACGCCTTAAGAACAACTCCTCCAGTCAGCTATTCTTTATTTTATTCTAATACTGTGATTTCTGTCCTACTAAATATATTTCAGATCATTTGCTCTTAATTCCTGTAAGTATTTGTCATGCATAATTAAGGAACCACTTAAAAAGAAATGAGGACCAATATACCTTAGTATTTTCTCACAGGAGGTGACCTGTAGGGGGTGAAGAGAGTATCTGAAGAAAAAGGAAGATATTCTTCTGCTTACCTGAGTAGTCCTGTCGTTTTTCAGGAGGCAGTTGCAGATACTTTAGAGGAGCTGTGGATCTCATACAACTTCATTGAGAAACTGAGGGGTATCCGTGTAATGAAGAAGCTGAAGGTTCTTTATATGTCAAATAATTTGGTGAAAGACTGGGGTAAGCCACACCTCTCTGTTCTGTAACTCCTCCTGTAGTTTGGTGAATGCATGAGTTAAGTCACCAACTAAAAAATAGTTCTGTATGCTGCAGGGCTTTAAGTCTCACTGAGAAGCCTGCAGATGTGTGGAATCTCTAAATATCCCCTCATGCAAGAGAGTAAAAATAGTCAGAATATTGCATTTAACTTCTAAGTCCAAACAAGTTTGTTCTTTGAATCATCTCTCTCAGACTTCTTTTAAAATGCATACCTGTTCTTTAACCTGACACCAGTTCAAGCCCGAGCAATCCCCACCCGGTTGTACCCCATGCTGTTTATGTTTGCACTGAGGTTGAAAGGGAGGTTTGGTGCAGAGGTACTTTCCGTGTTCCACAATCTGGTTGGTGTTTTCACCTTTGTGGTTGCAGCAGAGTTTGTGAGACTGGCAGAGCTGCCATTACTAGAGGATCTGGTGTTTACAGGCAATCCACTGCAAGAGAAATACACCTCTGATCAGAGCAGTTGGTTTGAAGAAGCAACCAAACGGGTCCCCAAGTTGAGAAAGCTGGACGGTGAGTTTGGGGCATGAGGCAATCGGTGTGAGTTAACAGTTTTATATAAAGACAACCACAGGGAAATGAAACATAACCTCAGAAATTCATCTGTGTGCCCATGTAATATTCCTCCCTCCTGTCTTTGGAGTTATTCAGAAGTAGGATCTTCTGAAAGCATTTGATGGGTTTTGGAGTATTAAGTCCAAGTGGGGTTGCAGCCCACCGTTGGGCTTTACTCTAGAAGTTAACCCATCATATAGTTTTAGCAGATAACTAATGTGGAACTGAGACATGCTGGTTTGGAGGGCTCTTGTGGAGTTCACCTGTTGACTTGTATGTAACTATATAAAGTGTTCAGCATTAAGTAAGTTAGCAAGGCTTTCATCTGCCACGCTGAATTACAGTTTTCCCAGCAAATCTGATTTACAGTTTTCCATAACCGGAAAGGGTGACATGGGGAAATGGGTCTAGCCAGGGATATGTTCTGGTTTGCTTCTGGTGCGGGGGAAAGTTTTCTGAATTTCATGCAAATTTCCTAAATGCCTGAGTATCTCCCTCCTGTCACCGTACTAAGCCTCAGGTTATAAACTGTCCTCTCCTTTTTGTCACTGACACGACAATATATTAAAGTGTCTTGCTTTTAAAAGTGAGACAATTTTAAAATCTGTTTTTAAATACGTTAATTTCTGTCAAAGGAGATGCCAGCTGTTGACTGTTACCTGCTGTTTGCTAAAGCAATGAAAAGGCAGCAGGATAAATAAAGCTAATAAAGAGTCAGAGCAACAGCAGGGAAGGTAGGAATCCCAGCAATAAAGTGTACTGCTGAGCAGGATGGCCTGCTGTTGTGTGGTTGCTGTTGTAGTAGAAAACATCTTGAGAGTGAACCAAAAAATGGAATAGGGCAAGTATCTGTATGGGCAATGAGTAACCTTGTTAGTGTAAGGTTAGACCCTTAGTTTCTTAGTGTTCCTGCAGCCAGGAGCAATGGACAGCTCTGATTTTGGCAGGTACGTTTCCTATGTAATGTAGAAAGAGAGGATGATATTTAAGAATGGGAACCACAAACACCAGAACGTTGAGCCAAAAGAGAAGTCACAAATGCTGAAAGTGGCTGTAAGGTTCTTGCTGTTACGCTGGCCCAGGACAGTTACGTTATGCCTATGTCTATATCTAAGAGGACTAATAGAGGGACCTCAAAATTATTGAAATGGTTAAAGATGTGCTGGACAAAAAAAATAAGCACTGAAGGTCTCTTTCAGCAGGTAGGTGTCTCCTTTCAGCTAGTTCCTGTGCCGGGAACCCTGCTCAGCTGTTAGGTGCCTAAATTTTCTGTTTCCTGCCTGTAACAAAAGAAAGGCAGCACCCCAGCCGTGCAGTGAGCAAAGGGCTGTCACCACAAAGCCTCACCACAGTTCAGGTCTCTGCCTCAGGCTGAGCAAAGCATCAGTGTGACCCAGTTTCCATGGCCCAGGTGGCACATACACCTTCAGGCCCCTGCTGCTCTTGTATTAGTTATTTGGGCTATTTCGTGTGCTGTGAGCTAACCTGTGGTGTTGGGGCTTACTACTGTGGGGAAAACTTGTAACTTGATAAATCTTTTTTTGGGGGATACCAGCATATCAGCTTATTTTAAATTCATGAACACATCACTGCGAGGTTCACTGCACGTGAACACTGCAGGCTGCCACACTCTGAGGTGCCCTTTGCTCAGTATGGCAGCTAAAAAGCCATTTTTATGGCTTTTTAAGTACCCAAGGGGTAGGTATAGACTATGCTGCTACTGTGCAATGCAACGTTATTCCATGACATCCAAGTTAGCCCTAAGAGATGTGACCATATCACCTCCTGGATCCACATGAATGTAATTTGTATTTTGTAGTCTGGACATCCTAGTCTGGTATCACTGAGGAGGGATCGTTTCTGTCATGGTAAGGGCAGCACAAGGTGGGGGCCCAGCAAGAAAAAGGTGATGTGCCAGTTGGTTGTTAGTTGAACCAACATGGTGCATCTCCCAGTGACCAAGTTAGGCTGATCTTTGCAGGTCCTGCTTTCGTACCATTTTTATTCCCTGTTACCCAAGAAGTTGGAAGAAGCCATCCAACCAACGATCTCATCAGTTGAAGGGTTTTCTAGTTAAGAAAGTTCAGGTGTGTAGCAGTTCGTGTCAGTTAGAAGCACTGGCAGGAAATACAACTCTTCCGACAGTCCCAGTTAGCTTTCTGGTATATTAGCATTAACTATATCTTTCTCTGCATAATCTATTTGTAAATCTTTGCAGATTTTTTTTTTTCATCTCTTTTTTCCTCTTAGGTACCCCAGTTATTAGAAAAGAAGAAGATGAAGAAGGAGCAAACTGATGCCACTTTCCTGTTGGGTATTTATTTAAGTAACTCCAGATAACTCGGCATATAGAAGTTTTATATAAATGTTTGTTTTGAAGAAGATCTTTGGGCAATTTTTTTAAAAGACCAGCTTTTCTCCACAGTCTCTCACCCAAAGAGTCAGTAACCAAAATTCAGGCACACCAATTTTGTCAAGCTTATGACATCTTCTGTAGAGACCAGTGGAACTGAGTTTGTCTGCTGTTTGGCTAGCAAGAGATCTTCACTTAAACTAATTAGTAGCTATTTTTAATCTTTGATTAGTGGTGCTTGTTTTTCACTCTTGGGTTATAATAGACCCATTTTAGTTTGTTAGGTGCAGATGGCCAATGTTATCATTGGAAACACTGAGGCAAAAGAACAGTGTTGTGGTTTAGAGACACATTACAGGCTTTGTTGTGTTTAATTTTGTCATGGGAATCCTTCAATATTTTAAGTATGGGAGATTCCCTTTTCATCCTCTTAACTGTTATGCCAAACAGGCCCAGGAGCTGTGGACCCACGCACAAAAATGGTATTGGTCCAATGATTGCTTGTTACTGGCCTTAAGTTTTGACTTGGGCTTCTCCCATTGGAACTCAACTGCATTGCTTAAAAGGCCATGTATAACTTATATATTTATTTATTTTAAAGAGGCAATGAGAATTGTTTGCATGGTTTCAGTAAGACTAAAATATCTGCTAGCTTTTTTTCTTGTCTCAGTAAGAAATTATTTTAGATTTGCATATGTGATTTATTAGCCTACAGCTGGGTCCTAGTTTTGGGTCACTGCTGGACATAATCCTTCTCAATTCTGGAATTTTCCTGTAACTGAGTAGGCTGATACTAATACAGAAACAAACAGTGAACAAAAGACCTGGGTTTGAGGACAGAAAATTCTGGATTTGGAGATACTTATTCTTTATGAAAGCACAGATGTAAGCAGTGAGAGAAAGTGTGTATAGTTATGGGGAAGGTGAGATGAGATGGGAAGTGAGCACTGGCAAACAGTATTGAAGGCACACTAAATGTGCTATATTGCAGGGTAACCAGTTTTAGTAAAGCCCCCTTCTATGACAGGTGACTATTTTTAGTGAAAAGCATTAAACAGTGATGAAGACACACCTGATGGCACTGTTGGATGCCAAGAGTGGGGTTTTTTTCTTCTTCTCTTTAGAGAATAGATCAAGTCACCTGGGTAGATTTTACTCCATCTTGGTTTTGTTTTTTTATAAAAGCTTTTCTTCTGATTCATGGTACCATCTTTGTTTAAACTACAATGGAAAAAGCGTACCTGCTGGTTCCAGACCAGGCATAGATGGAGGCAGAGCACCACTCTTAATTACTTATTTTGTGACGGTGTGGCAGGAGTTGAAATCTTGGAAGTCATGGTCAGAGATAAAGAGGTAGAATTGGCACAGTTTTTTAACTTGCTTGTTAGCACATTGACCTCTCTTCAAAGAGCTGATGTATGCAGTGATTCTACTGAGAACTGCTGGAGAAAAAGTGAGAAGAGACTGAGAACCAGCAGATGACTCAGGTTGCACTAGAAGTAGACTCGTCTAGAAAAATCTTCAAGCAAGAGAGCACTTTTAACATCCTCTTTGACTATCTTTTGTATACAGTAATTTTGTAGCATGACCAAACTGTTAAATTTGCTGTGTTTAAATTATTTAGGCCTATGTTTATAATGTTATTCTGTGAAACTTGTTTAAAAATAATATAATGTTGTTTTATACAAACACCTTTGGCTGTTGTGTCATGAAAGAGTTCAGCTTGTGGAGGGTATTCAGAAATTAAACTTTGTTCTCAGACACTTCCCTAGCTGCTCAGGGAGCAATACAGTTACAGTATGTAAATGCTGGTCCTTGTTGCCTCTATATTTTAGAATACAGAGTAACTTAGACTTTAAAAATGCTGATATATTGTGATTGTTGTCATTTGATACATAAATATTTTTCAATCTTTTAAAACATTGGTTGTCAGACTTTGTTCTTAGGTTCTCACAGAAAAGTCCACTACAGCTATATGGAAAAAAAAAAATCTAAATAAGTTAAATAAATATCATTTGATACATAAATATTTTTCAATCTTTTAAAACATTGGTTGTCAGACTTTGTTCTTAGGTTCTCACAGAAAAGTCCACTACAGCTATATGGAAAAAAAACCCCAAATAAGTTAAATAAATAGCTAGTCTTTCTTTAGTACAAAATTACTAATTCACTTTCCATTTAAGTTCTGTTAACAGCAATATACCATCAGTTCCCTTAAATCACAAGAAAGGGTTAACTGATTAATAAACTTGTGTAATAACCTTTAGCCTTCAATAGACAGTGCCACTGAAATGTAATTTCAAAACCCTTATATATTTATATATAACTCATAGAAAAAAGCTTTCTACCCCACAGTGCATAGCAGTTGGTCTCAATAATGACAGGAACAGCATCCTGCAGTGATGGCTGGAATGCTATTTAAAAAACATATAGGGAATTACTTCAGAATTTCTCACACTATCACTAAGTCAAAGCTTACTAATAACTAAAATGCTTGATAAGGTCTCTTTCAGTATTTGAAATAGCTTCCAAAAGCCTGGGCTTGGGTCTGCTGATTAAAAAAAGATGAAAACCAAAACTTGTGACTGTTTTGATCATGCAGAGTTTGTTTGCATGGCTTCCCAGCTTTAGTGCAAAGTAGCCAACCTTTGGCATTTTTGCCAGTTGGCTTTGACAGGGAGACAAATACCTTATTTGAAGTCTTAAACAAACTTGTGGGCTGCTCTCTGAAGTGAAGGCATCCGTGTTTCCTCTCTCTTTTGCCCACCATTTACTTCTCCAAACACTATTGCTGATCAATGGCCACATCCTCAGCAGTAAATTAAAGCAAGGGCTTCCAGATGGAGCTGAAAAAAAGAGCATTTCAATGTCTTGGGCTGAGTCTTTCTCCTGCCAGCTTTGCTGAGAACATTGAAATTAAAACTTGTCAACAACTAAAGCATAAGTTAACAACTAAGAAGCAGACAGGTGTGCTGCCTGAGATTCTAACTGCAATCCAGCAGGCAGACAGACATGGATACACGTTCCTACCATCTGCTTTATGGGGTGAAGCATTTGCAGCTTTTCAAGACTTTGCACCCACAGGTGTGAGAAACAGTACTCAAGGTAACTAAAAACGGTGAACTACCAAAAGAGAAGGAACCTGTGTTTTGCAGATGGTCGGAAGCACATCAGGATTTAAAATCCACAGCAAGAGATCCAGCAAAAAACCCCCTAAGATTCAGGTAACAGGCAAGTGCCTTTCAGGCAGTATTTACAAAGATGTTTTTTAAACTCTACCATTAAAAAATACAATGCAATATGATTTACAGCTGGACTCGTCGTTTCTACAACCAGCAGATTCAACTATTAAACAGCAGTGGTGTTAACTCTTTTCCCAGCAGCTCTAGATTTACTTGAGTCTCTACTTTGTGTCCCAGCTCCAGCCACCCAGGAATTCGGAAGTGATACACTTTGCACCCACAGGTGTGAGAAACAGTACTCAAGGTAACTAAAAACGGTGAACTACCAAAAGAGAAGGAACCTGTGTTTTGCAGATGGTCGGAAGCACATCAGGATTTAAAATCCACAGCAAGAGATCCAGCAAAAAACCCCCTAAGATTCAGGTAACAGGCAAGTGCCTTTCAGGCAGTATTTACAAAGATGTTTTTTAAACTCTACCATTAAAAAATACAATGCAATATGATTTACAGCTGGACTCGTCGTTTCTACAACCAGCAGATTCAACTATTAAACAGCAGTGGTGTTAACTCTTTTCCCAGCAGCTCTAGATTTACTTGAGTCTCTACTTTGTGTCCCAGCTCCAGCCACCCAGGAATTCGGAAGTGATACGGGCCCCTCATGTACCCACTCACCCCGTGACACCTTTGCAGTGGTTTGGGGAGTGTCAGCATCCAGCCACCCTTAGGTACAGCACGGAAGGGAACCCACAGCTACTCCCCGTGAATCTCTAACACACTACAAAGGTTGTTACTGGCATTTGGGGAAGATGCTTGGCTTGGAGTGGGACACAACATTTCTGTAAAGCAACTGCAGCTGTCCTATTTTTTTGGCTAAAAGACTAAAACACATCACAGGCTGGTGTCTCCAGGAAGAAGTTTACATGGAGAAGCAGCCTCAAGGATTACTATGGAGAGAGGAGAGGTGGGTATGAAGAGAGCAGAGAGCAGCTCAAAGGACTCATAACCCCTTCCCTTTGCAGGAATGCACCATACCACTATCACCCCCCCAGCCCCAGCCGCTCCCTCCTACCATCAAAAAACTCAGTATGGAACTATTTTTTAAATCTCATTTAATAAAAGGTTTTTTAGATATATAGAGAATATTAAGTAAATAAGTTACATAGTACATTACAATCACATCAGCAAGATTTCCTTTAGTGTATTAATATTTTATAAAAAAAGCACACAAAAAATAAATTCAGTCCAGTCTATCACAACTGTACAGCAACAGGTAAATATATTTATATATGTACATTTTTAACATGTAACAGTCTTTTAAAAGGTGCCCTAGGCAGCAAACACACAAAAGGAAGTGTCTGCTCACTTGTTAAAATAAAAGTAATATACTTTATTATAAAGCATTTATACAGTAATTACAAAGGCTGACTGCTCCTGTACAGTACACCAAAGCTTTGACTACAAATGTAAAAACAGAACATAAAAAGAATGAACACAAAAAAGTTTATATCAAATCTGAACTACAGGGGGGAAAAAATACATGTGGAGAAGCTGCAGGAAACTGGTTTTTAAAATATACAATTACATTTCTATAAAAATATATGTTGTCTTCTAATCTGGAGAAGTTAAGGGGTTTTTTTTTCAGGCTCAGCTGCCAGTGGAATCCTCGTCTGGGAAAGACAAGTCCTGGGACAGCTGGGGGTTCAGCCTGTGCCTGCCCGGCCCCTGAGGAGAGAGAGGGCACGGGGGAGCGAAGCAGCTGAACCCAAGTGAGGAATTTACACAGAAACTCGCCCCACAAAAAAATCAAACGTGATTTGTAGCCACTGCTTCCCTTTAAAGCTTTATAAACTTTCAGGTGTGCAGCAGGAGATAAAACAGGGAGGAAGTCTGCGTGGGAAACTGATTTAGAATAAGGTTTCTGGCAGAGGTAATCACTGGACTCAAAGTGCCCTTGTATGAAGGCAGACAGGACTTGTGTGGCTACAGCCCTCCCTACTCCCATCACTTTTAAAATAGGACACGTACATTTAGGGACTTTCCAGTCTGCTGCCTGAAAGAGAATCAAGACGACCCTAATTGCTGAGAGTGAGAAAACTCAGCCTTGGTGGTTTAGAAAACGCTTTTTTGAATGTTGACTTTAATCGATAAAAATGACCAAAAGCCTCAGTCTGATAAATCAGGGGGTATTTTTAGCTAATTTGGACTTTGCATTACACCTCTAGTGTAATTAACATTACTAACAGATTAACAGATGAGTGACCTTTAAGCTTTAGCACATCTATCTTTGCCCTACCTCTGAACAGCTCTGTCCTACCTGGTCCTAGCTAGTGAGATGCCATGCTCCTGCCCCGCTGACTGAAATCCTGCAGGCCTTTAACTGACAGAGCTGAGTTCGCTCAGATACCGTTACCTGTATCGGTAAATGGAAAAAAACATCAAATAAATTAAAATGCAGAGATGTTCTTGCAGCCAGACGGCGAAACACCTGTCTCTGTATCAGATATGCATCACAAGTTCTTACATTAACAGCAAACCCTTATACTAAACGAGGATCAGTAAATAGGCCTTTAAATGATGGAAAATAACGAGCAAAGGGTTGTAAAATGGACAAATCAACAGAGCATAGAAAATAATCTTTTTTTTCTTTTTTTTTTTTAAATCTAATTGGAACAACACAGCCTTAAATTAACACTGTGCTGCAGTAAGGAGCCACTCAAGTAATTTTTTCACCCACTAAGAAAAGCAGCGGAATTCATACCAGATTAGACAAATTCAGTTCAAATGCTCTGTCCACAGCAATTGGGGGTTGATTGGTTGGTTTTATTAAAACAATTCTCTGCCAACTTTTGCCAGTAGGCAGATCTAATTCAGGTGCAGGATCAATTCGTGACTGCTGCCGTAAGCAATTGGGCGGCAGGTTTGGGTTTTTTTTATTTGTTTTTAAAGAAGACACTCAAAGGAGCATTTTTACTTATTCCCATGGCAAAAAAGAGATCTTCTGGTGGCTACTAGCAATATGCAAACATGCTTGGAAACAATACCATTTGATGCCACTTACTTGGAACATTTACCTGGTTTTGGGCAGCCACACTAACCCACAGCTGCTAGAGGGTATCCTCAGAAAAAGCCCTTTTCTGATTTTCTTCCAGTGACAGACCTCACTGTGCCACAGCTTCCTGTTCTCTCCTATGTCTACTGCAGCAGGGTGTTGGAGAGAAACAACTAGTACTAGATTCTGTGTGTCATACACACACCATTTTTGTGCAATTAAAGAAAATCTCTGATTTTTTCTTATCAGCACCTCAGTTGCTTATTCTTGATAAAAGAGGAAAAGTTACTCTTATATTGATTTCCTAAAATAGGGAGAATCAGTGAGAGATCTGGTCTTTGGAAGACTATAATAATGCTCCTGTTCAATCATCATCATATCTGAAATTGGTACTTAAAGCAATCCCATGATTTGCTGCCTATATCTTTGTACTTCATTCCATCCGATCAGTTGTTTGTCACCATAATTTGCTCTGCCATATCTCAAATTACTTGAAGCTTGAAAACTCCTGGGGCCCGTGACTAAATGTTTGCTCATTAGCAGTCAGGCATGCTCCCAGACACTAAGAATGCTAGAGTGAATGCAGGTGATGCACTGAGCAGAAGAGTAAAAGGCAGAGAAATGTCCTGACTCTCTGCCCATAAGGGGAACAGCACGTTTTGGTACAAACCTCTCTGCCGATTTGCCTTATAGGAGGAGACACACAAGTTCTAGTGCAGCTTCCTATTTTCTAGCTGGAACCATACCTGGTTAGTCCGTGCTACCCCTCGCTTTTTCCTAAGCATCTGCTCCTGATCACTGTCAGAAACAAGACCTGGAGCTAGACAAAACCCTTCATTTTTGCCACATTTCTCAATGTGTGCCAGTTCCACCTTCATCTCCACTTCTTTGTTATGTGTCTCCAGGCCTTCTCCATCTCTCTTAAGTAACTGTTCTGCTGCTGCCACACGGGTGTTCCAGATCTGTATTACTTTAAATCCTTTTTAGATACACTCATACACCCAGCTTCTTCCTGAACCGTTGCCCTGCAGTTCTCAAGATTTGGAAACTATTGTCAACTTCCCAGAAACACCCTTCACAACCTTACGCTTAATGGCATCGTTGCTTTTTATGGGAATGAATCCCAGTACTACAGGTGGAGCACGAGGTCCAGCTGCTTCACATACTGCCTGCCCTGGCACAGGGTGCTGAAGCTTCTGTTCTCTCACAGGGCCCCAGGATAACCACAGACAGGCATTTCTTCCCATTTACAAAAAGAAAATAAAGCTCTCAATAGGAAGACTGATTTGCTTAAGCTTATTTTAAAAAATTAGTAGCTTTTAGTTCTTTGCAGTTTTTGAATGATTTTAACAGCTCATGACACACCACCTGCTTTCACAGCCTAGTTAGTCAATGAGACCCATGCACCTAGAGATGTGGGACAGCCAGCCAAAGGCTGAAAGGAAACCGAATTTTGTTAGGAGGGAAAAATACAGCCTTGGCAGAAAACTAGAACAATTAAAGGCAAAAGTGTCAGTGATACTCCTACTTATTTTGCAAGAGGAGTATCTGCTTCTGCTGTTAAGAAAACAGATTCTATCCAAAGGCATATGTATGTCAAAGCAGACCTGGTGCAACAGCCAGCCTCCCCGGCTCACAAAGTCAGGCAATCGTGGCTGCACAAAGCCACAGGGTGGGGAAAGGCTGCCAAGAGGGCAAGCTGGAGCTAGAGCCACTTGCCAGAGCTAACCTGCAGCTTACCTAGCAGCATGCTGTACTTCTGGGCTTCACATACAGCACCCTGATAGGACCCCTGCATGGGAACACAGGGGCAACGCATTCGGTGTTGCACCACTGGAACAATCTTTATGAAATAATGGTGTCAGCTGTAGAGATATACACAACAATCCTGCGCAAATCACCTGGACCACTTCTTCTTGACTCTCTTTCCCCAGCAGGCTTTTGGTGGCTAGGCTTTTTGGGCTATTAGCATGTGTCAGTTCTGAAGGAGGAGCCAGCCTTTCAGCAGAGGGCAAGGCTCACAGCAGGAGAAGCCAGCAGGCTGGACAGCCACCAGCGTGGACATAAGTGACAAGCTGCCCCTGCACGTACACACTGTCCAACAGGAAGTATTTGGGAAACTGAGGCCCCAGCATAGAGGCTCCTGATGGTGGCAATTTCAAGGAATAAGTGAAGGCTCCCACAAGAAGAAATGGACGTGTTGAGAGGGAAAAGCCATTCACAGAGGGATCGCTGTTGGAGACGGGAATCCATTCCTCCCACCTCCAAGGTGCACACAATCCAGCACATGAGAAGCTTTTGGTTCATTCTCACTAAACAAACTTGCTCCCGTTTATGCAAAGTCAAAACCAGCAGTTTTCATTTCAAATTGCACTTGTGAAGCCCAGACTACTTTCCATTAAGGTAATCAAAGGCAGACTTATTTTGTTTTCCAAGATGAGACAACCCTCAAGGCCTGTGGCTACTCTAATCCTGCAGGATATTTTTATAGCCATTGCTGCATTTTTAATGGCATGAAAGAAACCACCTCAGGATTCCTTTTGAAAAATAATACTTCCTCTCAAAAGGAAGAAGTGTCTTGCTCATCCCAGTTTTCATTTTTGTGAAGCAGAGGCCAAAAGTGCACACCATCTTTCCCCAAAGTTTGTTGGCTGCCTGAATAAATGCTCAGAAAGGAAGTCAGGAAAAGTGTAATGGGAAGGAGAACTTGCTGAGAAAGGAAACATCTAGAAATCACCAGTGTCACAGTAACTGGATACACTTAGCTCAGAGCAGAGCATCATTTTCTTGCTCTGGTCTGGAAATCTTTATATCCAAGAGTTCTGTTATCGGGATTCCTGACAAGCACAAAAAAGAAAGGTCTGACTGACTCGAGAGAGAACTTATTTCCACTGCAGGTGACATTGTTCTATTATGTACCTCAGATATCATAAATAGAATAGAAATCTTATTTGTTTAAAAAAAAAAAAATACCCAAGTTGAAAGAAATCTTTTCATCTACCACTCCAGCTTGGTGAGTCCCAGCAAGGTGAAGTGGAACACGCGGCACGAGGGAACGGCAGCACTGAAACTGGGACCTGACGGGTCAGGCAGGAAAAGTGCAAGCAGAACAAGTGAGACCACCAAGAGGGAGGTTGGGTCCAGCCTTGCTACTCCCTCCACGGCTGGTCTGCTGCTATATTTCTCCATCTTCATCCGAGCTGGCGCTGCTGCTCCCACTGCTGCTGCTCCCGCTCTCGCTGCTCTCCTCCTGCCGGGCCTGGCTGTGGGCTGCTGCTGCCGCCGCCGCCGCTGCTGCTGCCTCTCTCTCTTGCTGCTTCAGTGCAGCTGCCTTCTTCTCCTGCTCCGCGTGGCTTTTCATGTGTGCGCTGCGGCTCTTCACCTTGTAGAACACCCTGCAGAAGCACACATGCATGTTAGCTTTGGTCTCTCCTACAGCCTCCTTCCCTACGTCTCCTGAAGAACTTCTGCTGCTCCAGCCTTGGGTTTGCGAGTGTTGGCACTTGGGTGGGCTCTATGGCAATGGGGCACCTACACAATGCCCCACGTGTGGCTGGGGGTGGGCCAGCACCAGGCAGAGTGCTTGCGGGAGCACCAAATGTCACAAGTTCAGCTGGAAAGTCTTCTTAATGGTGTCTTCTCCTTTGGCCTTGACCAAGTCCTACCTGCTCGACTTCCCACAGCTCTGCCCTTTCCAATGCCACACACTCCCTGCGAGCACAGTCAGGGCACCTTGGCAGGACCAGCCAAGTCCCAGCCACAAGAACCTGTCAACACCCCAGTGATGAAACTAGATGGACATTGCATTTTCTTGCCATCTCCTGGCTGGTATTACAAGATTCTCTATTGTTTTAAGAGTTTTTAAAAAGAAAAATGTAGGGAACTGAGTTTTCTTGACATTTATGAATCTGTTGGCAACAAAACTACAAAATCTACTAGAACTGGGTGAGGAAAGCTAAGTATATTTTACAGACACAAAAGATGGGTGCAAGTTTAACCAGCTGAACTGTGTACCTAATACCTGCTGCTGTAACAATGGTAGTGTCTTATATTTCTACACCACTGTTCTGAAGTAAAGCTGTACCATGTTCTTAATACGTGATCTAGCAAATACATAGAAATTGCTCGTTACAAAAACATAGCCATTAGAGAGGCAATACAGAATACAGCAGCTGTTTGAATGAATTCATTTGGTTGACACCAAATACCACACACAGCTAAAATGCAGGTGGTGTCTCATCCCATTTGAGGAAAAACAGTCAGTAGCAGGTAATTATCCAAGTAGCAGTAACTGAGTATCAGTATATGTAAAAGTCCCTAATCTGCGAGTATTAGTGAGGTAATAATTCATTAACATTACTGCCAGCCTCTCTGGCCTAAACAGACTTCTGTCTGTTTAGATGCCCTACTGCAATTTTGTGACTATTGCTGGAGGCAGAGTTGCACTTACCTGCCACATTTTTTACATGGAAACGTGTTTTCTGTGTTCTGAGTTTTATTGGTAGCATCTGATTTTATCTTCTGTTTCCGCCTCCTCCTCTGCACTGGAGCAGTAATAGGCTTTCGAGGCTTCACCGTTGCCTCCCTTGGTTTCCTTCCAATTCTGCTTGTGACACCTGCCTCTTGACTCCTCATATTGGCATCATCGTCCTTTGGAGAGAGGGGAACAGTTAAGGCAAACCGAAACTGAAACCCACCGTCAGAAGGAAGACAATGGCCGAGCTCCTGTGCTTCATTTATTCCAGACCAAGGTTTTATTTAATGAGAAAGTCTTCAGGATATTTTCAGAATATTTCTCATCATGGTCCTATGTGTGCACCAACCGCAAAGAAATACACCGGGTTTTTCCCCCCTTACTCATCCCAGTTCTCCCACCACAGCATACAGTCTGGTTGCTGGTAACACTCTAAGCTACCTCAGGCCCAGTCTTTTGCTCTGGGAGAAGACAGAAGTGTAAACTTTTTATATCTTCAACTGTCCACCTGGTATTTCCTAACTAGTTACAGAGTGAAGGTGGCATAGAAAACACAACCCGCGCAACGCAGCACTTACATCATCTTGTAGTGTCTCTTCATCTTTGAGAGGAAACGTGCTCTTTCTGTTATCCAGCCCTTCCTCTGCCTCCTCCTCTTCTTCATCCTCTTCCTCCTCCTCCTCCACATGCCCCTGTTCTTCACTGTAAATATCCCTTCTGGGAGGAAGAACACGTGCAAACCTATGGGAACTCTTAATCAGAAAATAAAGTACACGTTAATTTTGGTGTCTGTAATTAAATGTCATTATGTGACACAGGACACAAGTCTGTGAGTCTGGACTCCTTGACACTGACCAGACAGTTTCTGCTTTTGATTTTACCAGCAAATGAGACAACACACAAGATCAGACTTCACAACGCAAAAGAGGCGAGAGAAATTTAGGAAATTACCTTGATGTCAACTTCAGCTTCATCTCTCATGGATTTCTCATTAGCAACATCAATGTCCCCAAAGATTAAGGTCCCGTTGCGACCAATTTTCACCTGTTTCTTGTACGTGTAGTAGAATTCCACACACTGAGCCACTGTTTTGGTTTTTATCTGGTGTTTAAAAAACATGAAAGTCCACCACATTACATATTTTAAGAAAACTTATAAATAATTACTAAGAGTGCAATAAATACACTTTGTATTTTTCTTTCCTCAGTAGTCTCCATTCCACCATCACCTTCTTTTCTGTGTCCTCCGCCTGCGTGCCCTGTCCCACAGCCCACCCCCTAGGACCACTCTAGGAGAACTACAGGACCAACTTTCCAGAGAAAAGCTGGTCAATGTAAAGGTGACAGAACCTGGCACTGCGTAAGCTTAATGCACCTCTCAGCCTCCGAAACCTTCCAACTGAGCTGTCAGGCTCGAAAGCAGCCTTTCAGTTTTATGGAGGAGCTTTATTTTCCAGCAGCACTTCAGAGGAGACCAGACCAGAATACCGAGCCAAAAATGGAAAGGAAGGTTTGTGGCACTTTCCCATTTTGGCCACATGCATTTCACACACATACGGTGGGAGATGGTCACCAGTACAGACCTGTGACCATCTACATATTCTCTATTAGAGATTTTTCTGGAGGTTTTGGAATATATTCTTAGCTTCTGGGATTTTGGAACTTAAATACCCATTGGGTCTTTATTCAGAGGAAATACATAATGCAGTTCTTGATTCTGCACTCTCCTTCAGTGATCTCCCCCTCACTGAAGTGTCATACATGATCATTTTTGCTATCACTGTCACAGAAAACTGGAAAGAAAGATCCTAAAGGATGTGTCATTCACATATCCTTCTTTGGTCCTTTCCATCAGCAGCAAGGGTGTGTTGTGTGTGTTCTATTCTGCTTTATAAGCCAGCCATTTGAACCGTACTGGAACATCCCCAGCACTCTATAAACACGCCCCATAGAAGGGGTATCTGCAGTGTGGACTGATGGAAGTCACACAGCAAGTAGGAGGGTTAAGTAAACAACAACAGCAAAACAAACAGCATTGTTCTAGCTATCTAGTGAGATCTGATGCTGTGCTGAATGATAGGATTTCTCTGAAATCCTCTGAGTGCAGGACTTAACACTTAATACCGAGGTTTCAGCAGAATCAAGACTGAACTCGCTGTATTTAATGCTCAATAAACGTGTAAGAATGTATCATTGCTGTCTAAATAAAACCCACAAAAAACCAAAAACTTACAAGCTTTTGGACCAGGAAAAAGTCTTTCTTGTAGATTGCAATGCCCTTGTTGAAAAGTTTTTTTTCAGCGACTTTCCACTTGTCTGATCCTGTAGATAAAAAAAAAGTTGCAATTTCAAATGTTTACACTCCTACATGCTTTTCCTCCACACTCGCCTTGAGACAGATGTGCAGGGGTGCAGTCTCACATCACACCTGATCCAGCATAACACAGCAGACTGCTGTTAACACCCCACGGCTCCACTTCAGCCCTCCTCTCAGCACTTCCTTTGTGTCAGATCTGGTACCCAGCACCACAGGTTAACTCCATTCAGCTTGCAAAAACCAGCCCATTTGGTGAACTAAGATGTTTTCCAAAAGACACACTTTGTGGTGGCCCAGTCATTAGATTTTATACAAGGGAAAGGGTTGGGCAGGAGAATAGGATCTTCTCTCTCAACAGCAATCCACTGTATTTGAAGATTTAGTACCTCTCAAATATTCCTACTATCCTTGCCTCTAATAATAAACACATTTTGGAATCTCCTCCTGCCTTATGGATGCTACTTAGGTAATATTTCCCAGCCATTACGGTCAGACTGTGTAATAACAAAGAAATGTCATTTATATGTTTCGTGGTGCCAGCTATTAGATGTCTCTACCTCCTTACATCAGGTCTTTCAGGCGGCTGGAGTCACTCCAGATCGCTGAAGTTAGTGTCCCATGGGGCCCAGTCATTAGATTTTATACAAGGGAAATGGTCGGGCAGGAGAACAGGATCTTCTCTCTCAGCAGCAATCCACTGTATTTGAAGATTTAGTACCACTCAAATATTCCTACTATCCTTGCCTCTAATAATAAACACATTTTGGAATCTCCTCCTGCCTTATGGATGCTACTTAGGTAATATTTCCCAGCCATTACGGTCAGACTGTGTAATAACAAAGAAATGTCATTTCTATGTTTTGAGGTGCCAGCTGTTATATGTCTCTACCTCCTTACATCAGGAGGTCTTTCAGATGGCTGGGGTCACTCCAGATCACTGAAGTTAGTGTCCCATGGCTGACTATTTTTAATTAGGTACAAGACTGCAAAGGCAGGTTACGGCCTTTAAATTTTGCAGAAACACTGACAGGCATCAATAGTTGTCTGAGCTTTCTTCAGCAGTCTTGAAAACTCTTCCCATAAAACCCCCTCTTAACTCCACCCTGGAAGTTCATGCCAGAGAGGCTCTAGTTCTGAGGTTACCACAGCCTTTCTTCAGACTGTGTAATAACAAAGAAATGTCATTTCTATGTTTTGAGGTGCCAGCTGTTATATGTCTCTACCTCCTTACATCAGGAGGTCTTTCAGATGGCTGGGGTCACTCCAGATCACTGAAGTTAGTGTCCCATGGCTGACTATTTTTAATTAGGTACAAGACTGCAAAGGCAGGTTACGGCCTTTAAATTTTGCAGAAACGTTGACAGGCATCAATGGTTGTCTGAGCTTTCTTCAGCAGGCTTGAAAACTCCTCCCATAAAACCCCCTCTTAACTCCACCCTGGAAGTTCATGCCAGAAAGGCTCTGATTCTGAGGTTACCACAGCCCTTCTCGTAGGTACCATCTTCCTGCATTCTCTGTGGCTTAGTGTAAGGGATCATGTTCCCTTTTCCTCAAAGAGGAAATCAAAGCACACACTTCCAAGAGATGCAGTGTTTCTTACACTATAAATGTCATTATTTGCTCAGGCAAAATTCCTGGCAAGCCATCATTTGATTTACCAGAGAGAAGAGTCACTTTTTAATCTTCTTGTAATGTTACAGAGTTCCCCAAAAAAGCAGAAAAAAACTCCACCCTGGAAGTTCATGCCAGAAAGGCTCTGATTCTGAGGTTACCACAGCCCTTCTCGTAGGTACCATCTTCCTGCATTCTCTGTGGCTTAGTGTAAGGGATCACGTTCCCTTTTCCTCAAAGAGGAAATCAAAACACACACTTCTGAGAAATGCAGTGTTTCTTACACTATAAATGTCATTATTTGCTCAGGCAAAATTCCTGGCAAGCCATCATTTGATTTACCAGAGAGAAGAGTCACTTTTTAATCTTCTTGTAATGTTACAGAGTTCCCCCAAAAAAACCAGAAAAAGATGGAAAATTTCCTTTATGATAGAGAACCAGAATAACTGTGTGCTAACAAACCTGTGTAGTGATAATCTGCCAAAGGGTGGGTGGGTGATCGTACTGGCCTCTTCAACAGCAGTTTGGTCAAAGCTCCCTAACATAAACACAAATAAAATAATTAATTTAATGTTTGGGGTATTTAAAACAAAGATCAGGCAAATGTTAACGCTCTCCTTTCTGGCAAGTTAACTGAAAAGAACCATAGCAGAATTTAACACTGGGGACAACTTTAAAAATCCTATCCTTGACTATCTGGTGAGTCTTGGGCACTCCGGGCACGTTTTGGGGTATTTAAAACAAAGATCAGGCAAACGTTAACGCTTTCCTTTCTGGCAAGTTAACCAAAAAGGACCATAGCAGAATTTAACACTGGGGACAACTTTAAAAATCCTATCCTTGACTATCCGGTGAGCCTTGGGCGCTCCGGGTACGCTATCTGGTGAGTCTTGGGCACTCCGGGCACGTGGTAAGCTCTTGGCACCTCTTCATGTTTCTGCAAATTGACACTTTGGGATGGGAATCACGCAGCCAGGCAGAAGTGTGGGATACTCCTGACCACAGGGATGATTTATGCCAGGTTAAATCAATCCTAGAACTAGGAGAGGATGACAGCCCTATGCCATATGCTACGGCCTGCTCTCGGCTATTACTTCTCAGGGGTGTCAAAGGGCATTTATGAAAGTGTATCATGACTGACAATACTGATATAAAATTAGCAGCACAGCCCTTCTATAGACGTGCTCAGAGAAGTTCAATAGATCTGTTGCAAGTAAGAGGAGCAGGACACTGCACTTTTTGCCTCAGCTTTGGTCCCAGAGTCTTACTTTTCCTTCCAACTTGGTCATCTTCCCAGGAAGACAACTTTTAAGATTCATTTAGCAGTAGGGCTCATTCACCCTGGTATACTGTCAATCTGTTTATTAAAAAGCCAAAGACCTTGAGGTTGGAAATATGCAAGATAGTAAGTGAACACGGCCTTGTACATCATGCAGAACCCACTTTAGGGACCTCCAAGGGACACTAAACATTTTTGACCACATCAAGGTGAAAAGCTGGGAAGACTCACCAGAATGTTTCCCTTGGCTTCATGTAAGAAATGCAGCGCCAGCTCCTGGTTGGTTCCAGCCCCAGGAAAGATGCTTGAACAGGCAGCAGCAAGAAGGTTTTCCACTATTTCCACAGAAGTACCAAAAAAATTCAGATAGGATGACAGCCCTATGCCATATGCTACGGCCTGCTCTCGGCTATTACTTCTCAGGGGTGTCAAAGGGCATTTATGAAAGTGTATCATGACTGACAATACTGATATAAAATTAGCAGCACAGCCCTTCTATAGACGTGCTCAGAGAAGTTCAATAGATCTGTTGCAAGTAAGAGGAGCAGGACACTGCACTTTTTGCCTCAGCTTTGGTCCCAGAGTCTTACTTTTCCTTCCAACTTGGTCATCTTCCCAGGAAGACAACTTTTAAGATTCATTTAGCAGTAGGGCTCATTCACCCTGGTATACTGTCAATCTGTTTATTAAAAAGCCAAACACCTTGAGGTTGGAAATATGCAAGATAGTAAGTGAACATGGCCTTGTACATCATGCAGAACCCACTTTAGGGACCTCCAAGGGACACTAAACATTTCTGACCACATCAAGGTGAAAAGCAGGGAAGACTCACCAGAATGTTTCCCTTGGCTTCATGTAAGAAATGCAGCGCCAGCTCCTGGTTGGTTCCAGCCCCAGGAAAAATGCTTGAACAGGCAGCAGCGAGAAGGTTTTCCACTATTTCCACAGAAATACCAAAAAATTCAGATAAGAAGATTAAAATGGAGTTTCCTACAGGATTTGCATCATTAATTAGCTCTTTTGAATCAGAGTTAGATATAACAAAGTAAAAGTCTTAGAGAAGCTGGATGTCCTTGCAAATTTATCTGGGTCAAATTTGGACACAAGAACTCACTAGAACATGAGGTCAGGGAGCATTACTCCGTATGCAGCACTACTTACGCATGGAGTTTCTTGCAAGTCTCCTCCCTCCTATAATGTCTTCCCACCTCCCTTCACCTCCAATATTTCCTGAATTCCACCTTACGCTGTGAATTTTCATTTCACAATACCTTTTTTTTTTTTTTGCTCTCATGAGAAAGATTTCTTCCAAGCCTGCCCACTTCCTCTTCCTTTCAGGATTTAAACGTGCCCCAGCCCACATGTACTAACAGCAGAGAGCTCCCCAGGGCTGCTGCTGCTGCCACAACTCATGCTTCCTCAGCCTGAATGCAGTCTGCAACTTGAGCTTTCAAAAATACTATTATGTCTGGAACATCCCTTGAAAATACAGAAGTTGAGGGCACGTGGCGTTCACATGTTGACAAATCCTTTTTTTTTTTTTTTTTTGCTCTCGTGAGAAAGATTTCTTCCAAGCCTGCCCACTTCCTCTTCCTTTCAGGATTTAAACGTGCCCCAGCCCACATGTACTAACAGCAGAGAGCTCCCCAGGGCTGCTGCTGCTGCTGCCACAACTCCGCAGAGAGCTCCCCAGGGCTGCTGCTGCTGCCACAACTCATGCTTCCTCAGCCTGAATGCAGTCTGCAACTTGAGCTTTCAAAAATACTATTATGTCTGGAACATCCCTTGAAAATACAGAAGTTGAGGGCACGTGGCGTTCACATGTTGACAAAGACAAGGAAGTTGCACTCTTTTTTTTTTTTTTTTTGCTCTCGTGAGAAAGATTTCTTCCAAGCCTGCCCACTTCCTCTTCCTTTCAGGATTTAAACATGCCCCAGCCCACATGTACTAACAGCAGAGAGCTCCCCAGGGCTGCTGCTGCTGCTGCCACAACTCCTGCTTCCTCAGCCTGAATGCAGTCTGCAACTTGAGTTTTCAAAAATACTATTATGTCTGGAACATCCCTTGAAAATACAGAAGTTGAGGGCACGCGGCGTTCACATGTTAACAAAGACAAGGAAGTTTCACTGAGTAAAAGGCTGCTCTTTGCAGTACAAATGGTCCCAGTTTTAGCTCAATTAAAAAAAAACATTCCTATCCATCTACCTCCTGAGTGTTCTCAAGAAACACTCAAAAATGGCACTTGACTGGCAGCTCTGACAGATTTTAAATTATGCCGAGAGCAGACACATGCTTACCCCTACAACTACTGTGACAATTCAGTCCTATTTCCCAGCCTTCCACATTCTTACCATTCTCTTGGGTGACTTTGTTGGTTTCCAGGTCTCCCCATGGCTGCCACACCAGCTCTGCTTTGTGTTCATCAGCTGCTGCCAGAGATCTGTCTTGGAGTGATGGGATTTCTGCTTGAAAGCGAGTTCCTACATTTATTCGCCTGCAGAAAAGGTAACAAGTAACGGTCAGGCCCCCTTTCCAACAGCCAGAAAATCTCCATCTCTGCAAGAAACACTAATTATGAAGAAACTGAAATGCGTATAACTGCTCTGGCATATAACATGAACAACTTTCAGGTGTGGTAGGTTACCTTAACAAGCATGACTCAAAAGGTGAGAGGTTTTACATCCACTACCAGTTTCCGTTGTCTTATCAACAATGGTTGAAATTGTATTTGAATTAGGATCTCCTAATAACCGCTCAAAGAACAGTTATTAGCTTTCAATAATCATTACTTTTTGAGAGGCTGTCATACGGACTTCTCTCATAGCAAGCTCCTTCCTCATGCGTAAGTTTGGTGAGCTTTTTTAAGTATTGATGTTTTGCCAGCCGTAGCTATAGAATTATAGCATTATCTAGGTTGAAAAGGACTTCTGGAGACTATCTGGTCCAACTCTCCATTCAAAGCAGGATCAATCTCAAAGCCTGGTCCTTTATGATCTTGACAAGCTAGTATCTTCTAGAAACTAACAACGGAAACCAAAAATATAAAACAATGACAGCTGTATTGCTCATTCTGTATCAAAACCAAATCCCATTCTTTGAGCAACAATCCCATACTTTTAGATTCTCAATTAGCAGACAGATTTTTCACAACATGCAATCCACATACTTGCTTTAAGTCAAGTGACCTTCCACAGAGATTCTACTCTGTATTAGCAAACAGGGTTCTGTGCACAGAGGTGGGTAAGAACCACCATCGAAAGCCTGCTCTACCAGACTTGGAGGCCTGAAGATCTACACCAACAGCACAGCAAGCAGCAAGAGCATCTACACTTCTCATTCAGTGGCAAAATGCACAGACAGTAGCTACACAAACTCACTGTAGCTGAAAAAAAATATGTTGGGTGTAAAATGTTTGTAAAGTATTTTGTGTAAGTTCAGGGACAGCTTTCTAAGTAATATAGCAACTATGTACACAATTCAGAGGTCCAGAAGAGAGAGCAAAAGAAATGTGCAAACTAAGCTAGAAAAAAAGGCCCTTCAGAAAACCAAGATATTTGGTAACAGCTGCTGCTCAAACCACTTTAAATATCATGAAAATCCCCTATTCTGAAATAAGATAAATATGCTTAGTGAAAAATATTCCTCTTTCAGATGTCAGTCAACTAGCACCATTCTGGTAGCTCCTGAAATAATAAAGGATGGGGAAATAAGCCCTTTTTTTAAGGCAGTAGATGAGACAGTGCCCAGAAGATGATTAAACTCTGGAGTTTGCTGTGATTGTCAGGTCTTGGCTTGGTTCACCCCCAGCATGAGGGGAAACACAATTACCAGAGAAAAAAAAGCATGATCTAGTACAGTATGAATAGGAACAAAAATATGTGAGAAACACCAGCCTCCAGACTTTTCTGGTCCTTTGCTGTTCTGAAGTAAAACATACACGTCTATTATGAAAGGAAGAGTCTGGAAAAGGTGTGGGGAGGCCTTGAAAGAATACATATAATGGAATCACACAATTGTCAGAGTTGGAAGGGACCTCTAGAGATCATCCAGTCCAACTCCCCTGCTAAGCAGGATTGCCCAGAGCACATCACTCAGGACTGCATCCAGGTGGGTCTTGAAAATCTTCAGAGAAGGGGACTCTACAACCTCCCTGGGAAGCCTGTTCCAGTGCTCACCTACACAAAAACCCAGGGAGATAATAGCAAATGTTCCAATAGGATGTTTTGAAGTCCTAGAAGACTGTGCTATGAGAGGGAAGGAAGAGGGCATAATTTTTTGTTATGGAAAGGGAAGAAGGTAACACCTTCCTGTCTATTCCGTATTTCCTGCCTATTTTGCTATTGTCAGTCACTTCACCCATCCCAATTATCTTGGACAGAAACAGCACAATTAAGACCAAAAATTTTGGCAATTTTGAGAGATTTTTGGTCTCAAGGCACAGACCCCTCTGGCCTCACTTGTGAGAGAGAAAGATGAAATTGGAAGAACTGGAAGGAAAGAATGTGGGCTTGAAGAGCTATCAGAAGTTACTTTTGATCTTGAAACTCATCTTGGAATATGGCATTGCTAGACTAGAAAAGCCTAAGTATTAGAACTTGTACCTGCAATGTTTAAATAAAACCAGATTTCTACTGCAAGGGTTGTTGACCTGAGTAACCTGATCCAATTTGGTCAGCCCCCAGCAAGGGCTTGGACCAAATGACCTCCAGAGGCCCATTCAAGCTATGTTATTCACAGAATCACAGAATCTTCTAGGTTGGGAGGGACCTCAAAGATCATCTTGTCCAACCGTCAACCTAACTGACAAAAATAGACACCCGCACAACAAACAAGAAGCATCACCATCACTAAACCATACCTCCCAGCACTACATCAACCTGTCTTTTGAACACCTCCAGGGATGGTGCCTCAACCACCTCCCTGGGCAGCCCATTCCAATGGCTGATGACCCTTTCAGTGAAAAATTTTTTCCTAATATCCAGCCTGAACCTCCCCTGGCGTAACTTGAGGCCATTTCCTCTCGTCCTGTCGCCTGTGATTTGGGAGAAGAGACCGACTCCAATCGTATTCCACGATTGCCTTGCTGATGAAGCCTGGATTTCAGTACAGCAAAAGCTCATCTGTAGGCACTGTAGTGCTCCCAGGACACCCCGGTAAACAGCGGGGTGTGGGAACATCCAGAATCGAGGCTGTGAATTGGGAAGGCAATTCACAGCTGACGGGTCACAGCTATATTTGAGGCTGGCTGAGGGGTGGCTTTAGGACTTTGAAGCAACTGAACTGCAAAGCCAGGAGGCCACAAAGAGCTGTGACACCAGCTGCCTGTTGTACCACTTCACAAATAGAAGCATTAAGCTTCGTTATCACATTTCCTATCCCACATCTCTGCCATGAAATGACCTTTCGAGAAGCATGAGCAGAAGGTCTGGCAAAGCACAAGTAATTAAGAACACAATATTGGATAATCACAAGTTGCAGTCAACCTCTGACAAAGTCAAGACTTCAGGTCAAATTAAACATTTTTTTATGGCATCCTACCATATTTTTTGATAGAAGATAAGTCTACATAACTGACCACAGCAGTGCTGCACAAAAAAACTTCAAAGCAGCAAACTGATTGCTTCAACAACACAGAGTATCACAGAGTGATACTAGTTTGATAATTTATCTTAGTTAAAAGTTAAAGCTATGTACCTGTGTAAGCATCTCTTCAGCAAGACTTAAGATGACAGCAAGATAAGTCTCTGCACATAACTCCCTTTTGGCAACGGGAGATGAACTTGCATTACTAATTACTACGGTTTGAAATTTCCAGCAACAAATTTGAAAAATTTCACACACAACTAAAATTGCAGCTAACTTTATGTCAGTAACTTCAGCAGTTCAAACCAACACATATGATGTAGAACACAGAGAGAGGTCAAAGATCAAGACCCGGGAGGAAACAAAATAATACTTGTTCAAGAAGAGGTTCCCCTGGTTTGGCATGAAATGAACCAACAACAAAAAGATGAATTAAGCCATTTTCAAAACAGATTTAAAAACAACAAAACAAACCAAACAAAAAAAACCCAAACCACCAAACCCCTAAACAACAAGAAACCACACCAAATGTGCTTATTTCCATCAATGGGCTCAGCCTGGAAGGGATTTGCAAAGGTGACAAGAATAATCTGAGTTCATTCATAATGGTGACATTCGCTCAGGACAGCCTGCTGCCAGAAGTGCAGAAAACTTGGCTTCAAACAGGAAGGCAGAATGGAAAAAGGGCATGAAAAAATAAATTGTCAGCAAATACTCCAGCCAATTTTTATAATATAAGCCATTTTTGCGAAAAAAAAAAAAAAGTAAAAAGAAGCCTAGCATTTCTTTGGGGAGAGTTTGAGTTAAATATCTCCGATGTTACAGGATACGCTGCAGAGGCAGAGCAGAGATTCCTGACTGCAGAGTCAGCACAGCAGAGCCACGTAGGTGGTTTTATGCCATAAGGGCGTTTCCGTGCCGTGCATCTCCATGTTCAGATTTTGCAAGAGTTCATTAACCTAGGTATAATCATGAATTGGAATTACCTTGCTGCAGTTCCACAGCACTGAACTGGAGCTGATAACACTCCCAGAGGGTTTGCACGGGCTGTGCAGAGACATTTGCTGCTCTGCTCAGCTTTAGCAGGACTGGCACCAAGCCTAAGCTCCTAACTTCCAAACTCTGTTCCCGAGCGCTGCTGGGTCCACGTGGCTGAGCTTTCCCAGCACAGAGCCAGCTAAAAAGACTAACGAGGCTTATTAGCTCAGGCCACACACCCTGAATGCAATAGGCTGCAGTGCTTCCAGCCTGAGCTAGCCCAAGAGGCAGCCAAGTTGTGTTTGCAGCCGCGCTGCAGCTCATGATGCACACCGCGTGGATCTCTGCAATCTGACCAGGCCATGTGAGAGCTAACTACATTTTTCCATACTATGTTTCAGTCTTTCTCTAAAGAAGCATTATTTCCCCACTCTAAAACAAACACGCAGCATGCAAAGATGTGTTTGTACACAATAAAACAGGACAGATTCACCTTTAGCTAACCAGTAGGATTTCAGCCCAGAGACAGGTGAGCAGTAACAGAAAGCAGCTAACATCACCAGAATTACAAGGTGCATTTGCCCAAACAAACATTCTTTAGTTGTACGGACTGATTTTTGATAAGGACAATTTATATTTTGAATCACTAATAGGAATAGCTTTGACGTTTCTAGGACGTTTATAACACTTAAACATTCCCCTGTACATCAACACCACATCAACTGTACAGGGAGCAGCTTGAAGGTTTAGGAGAAAGAAAAGAAGCACATTTTCTACCAGGGTAAGAATGTACTGGGTACTTACGGTTCAATGCTGACTGGGGTGGCTTCCCCCACCACCGTAAGAACAGGAGGGGTAACTTCTGAACTATCTGCAAGGAAAAGAAAGAACTGCTCAGACAGTTCGTCTTTGCATTTGAGACATATTCTTCACACTGCTTGTAAATCTATCAGAGCTATCCATCTCTCAAAAAAGGGCCCCATACCCTAAAGGAGTTTAAGATGATGTTAAGTAAGAGCTGACCTTCCAGTCACCATCTACACCTTAGTAACAGCTATTTACTACCCCTTCAATTCAAGATAATGACAATCTACTAAATAGGAGGAACAAACGTTTCCATTCCTAAGAAGGTCAGTAGGGGGTGTTGCAGATTGCTTGTGAAGGCATCTTGACATGCATACCCAGATGGAAGCAACATGGCATTTCCTCCAGCCTAGCTCCCCAGAACATTGCGAAGAAGTCCCAGTTCCCCATAACCACACCTCCTGAAGTCATGATCTTCCTCCTATTACTCCACAGTTCCTAATCATAAATTAGTCAAGAAAGGAAGGAAAAAGTGGAACTTACTTGATCGAAGCAGAGTTCTGTGAGCACTTTTAGGAGTCATTGGAGGTGGAACCGAATGACCACCTGAAGAGAGGATAGCATTAAAGTATAGCCCAGATCCTTCTCTCACTGGACTAAGGATTGGCGGAGGAGTGTAAGGAGGTAGCTCAAAGTTCTTATCTGAAGGATGATCTGCCAGACGGACAGGTGACCGTAAGTGGCTCTGATACGGAGTAATGTTAGAATAAACAGGTGGTGCAATAAAGGTGCCGGCTTTTGGTGGTATGAAGAGTGGCTCAGGTCTCGGCCGCTGCTTTGGTTTCCGGATGAAGCCCTCTGTTTCATCCTTTGGAACAGCATCTTCATGCTATTAGAAAAAAAATTACATACTTCAATTCATTTTAAAACCTCAGGTCATTTGAAAAACTTAAGTGAGATGACAATATTCTTTCCTGGCAGCTCAAAATCTGGATAGGGCAGCTGGAGGGTGTCTCAATAGTTAGCACAAAGGGAAAGAGGGAGGAAGAAGGGAACTAAATAGACACAGGAACTATTAGGTAGCAACACTAGCTTGAAGTGCTTATGAAGTTATATTTTTACAGCAACTAGATATACGTCTGGTCCAACTTTTGGTTGGAAAGATAATGACCTCATGATAGCTTTAAAACAGGACACAGAAGTACAGCAGAACCCTGTGACACCAAATAGCAATATGACAACAGAAGACAATGTAACAATACTGTCTTAGATGGCCAAGCATTTAAATGCAGAAAAACCTCCTTAGATGCCTGCCATTTCTCTGGTATCTGAATATTCTACTGTACTTCTGAAGAGAAGAGACAAAAAGAGCCCCCAAAACAAAAAAACCCACTCAACAGCACCACACTGAAGGAGGACACACAAGTACTGACCTTCAGAACCTAAGTAACAGATTTCAATTCCATGAGAACAAATCTTCACTTTGGATTTTATTCATATACAGAGATATATGCACTACCCTACTTATTACTACCTATGTATGGATGGAGAGAGCACTCTTTAGACAGACTATTTATTCTACTGTTACTGACCATCTGGCTTTATTCACTGTTCAGAAGCGGGGAACTGCTTGGCTGCACCTGCATTAGCTGTAGCTCATGAAAAGCCAGCGATGCCCAAATACATGGCAACATTATGATGAAAAAAAGAATCCACAGTACCCAGACTACATTAATTCCAAGTTCAAGTCTTGAGATCAAACTACTTTAATAGAAAAGCTTATAGATAAAAACTACATAATTAATTCTAACAGATTTGGCTCAACTTCGGTTTCTTAGTTTACCCATACCTGATTTGAGGTTTCCATGTTAGTATTACGATTAGATCGCCTCCGAGTGACTATCACAGAAGGCTTGCGGTCACAAGGAGTTCGATCATTTGTTTGGCCTCTCTGGAGCTTTCCATCCTCGGACTTTTCCTTTCCAAGGCTCTGCAGGTCAATTTTTCTCACTGGGACAGACACAGGAATGATAAGAGGCACAAGGCTGTTATCCTCCCGCGCTCTTTTTGGAGCTGGTGAAGAACCAGCGAATTCCACAACATTTTTTGCAGCTGTAGGTCCTGGAGCTGATATCAGCACACTCTTCTTCTCTTCTGAAGTATCCAGTTCCTGAGAAGAAAAATAGATTCCTTAAGAGTTCTGTAGTACTTACATAATAGATCTGCTATCTCACTTTCAGTGTGTATCAAGTTTCTCAATGCAATTTGTAAGCTGAAATGGATTTGGAGAAGTGTTACTGGAGGAAAAAGAACACTTCACCACAGTGTTATCAAAATTTCTTAGAATTACTTGAGAATTGTATGAGGTCTCAACTGCTAGAATATTTTTACACATCATTTCTAAGTATCATTTTACTACCTATGGTTTAACGTTTTATTTTCCAGACGAATTTGTGCTCTGCCATATAACTTCCAACAAAGGTTCTTCAGTTTTAGTCATGATTATAAGCTGCAGGTTATTAATTTCAAATATTGGACTTCTGTTGCAGGAAAGACTGAACCACGATAATCTTAATTAAATCTCTCATACAAAAACCAGAGCTAGCTTTTTGCTGCATTTTTTCTGATTCACACAACAGAAGCAACTTTTTTATTGTAACTGGAGCCTTTGAGGTTTGTTGCCTAACCAGGCTTGAGCCCGAAGGACTTTTGCTCAGCAGAATCTACAAGGAATAACTGCAAGCTGGCACTTTTTGCATTGGTATTACAGCTTCCATGTCTCTGCTTTTTTTTTTTTTTACTCATGGAAACCCTAAAAAATTGAGCTCTAAGGAGGTGGGAATGGAGGATGAGTTATTGAATAAACACACAGACACTGTAACACCAAATGGCTTCAAGTACTGTTAGGTAAGTGATTTCTAGTCCTTCAAATAACTCTCCATGTGTTCATTCCACTCTCAATTCAAAAGCCAGTCCCTTAGAAGCCAAACGTTAAAGTACAACTTTCAAAAACGTCTCTCTTCAGGGATGTAGAAGGCCTTCTTGAGCTCTGGTGAAGAGCAATCTAGATGATGTAGAAGATGCCCCTTTTGGTGTTTCAGAACTTTTCTCTAACTTAAGAGCTCTGTTTGGAAAGCCTTTGGATAGGATGAGGTATACAAACTCACTGTCCATCAGAGCCACAATCTACTGAGGAATCTACCTGAACAGCCGTGTTTCATAGGTGGAAACTGAGCACACTATCTCTCAGGTATGACAAGAGGTCTCCAACCTGAACTTCCAAAATTTTGCACAGATTTACTGAAGGCTTCAAAAAAAAAAAAGTACTGTATGCCATTAACAGTACCTAATCCTGATTAAAAAGCTCACATAAGCAGGTTCTATCATAACGATTCAGACACGCTCCCAGTCATTTCTCTGTGGTCATAAAATCATATGGGGTTGGAAGGGATCTCTGGAGATCATCTAGTCCAACGCCCCCTGCCGGAGGGGGTCCACCTTGAGCAGGTTGCACAGGAACTTGTCCAGGTGGGTTTTGAATGTCTCCAGAGAAGGAAACTCCACCACCTCCCTAGGCAACTTGTTCCAGTGCTCTACCACTCTCACAGTAAAGAAGTTCCTCCTCACGTTTAGGTGGAACTTCTTATACTCAAGTTTGTGCCCATTTCCTCTTGTCCTGTCACTGGGCACCACTGAAAAAAGACCAGCCCCATCTTCCTGACTCCCTCCCTTTAAGTATTTATAAGCATTGATGAGATCCCCCCTAAGCCTTCTCTTCTCAAGACTAAAAAGACCCAAGTCCCTCAGCCTCTTCTTGTAAGGGAGATGCTCCAGGCCCCTAATCATCTTTGTGGCCCTAATAGATCAAGAAAGCTGGCTTCACTGATGAGCAAGAGAACATGCTCCAGCTGGCCCATGAAAAGTCAACCCATGATAGCCAGAAGGGCACTAGACTGTAGTCCCTCTTTCATACTATATATATATGAGGGAAGCACAACTGTATTGTCAGAAGACGCATCAGTCAGAGCCTGGAGTCAGTGCTCTGGCCTCTCTCCAGATAGCAAGTCCTGGTAATTTTTGTTCCATTTAAGAGCAAACAGGTCCACTCTGAAATGCTAAGCCATCAAAAAAAAAAAGGCAGGTGCCCAGCTTGAGCAAGTAAAATCAATCATATCAAGAAGATTTAGGACTGATTCCTGCCAAGACCTTTTGTTAGAGTAAGGCTAAGTGTGCACAGAAAGGTTTATCTCATAGGTGACACTGCAGGTTAGAAGTTTGACTACTTCTTCAGAGACTGGAGATATCTGCTCCCACCACACACTGAAGAAATACACAACTGAAAACTCACAACAGGCATCAGCTGCCCCAGACTGTCCTGCGGGAGGAATTAATGAGCTTGGAGGAACTAATGAGCTCTGAGGACCTCCTTTCACTCCAGACTGGTGATATGCACCAGTACTTTCTCATGAGACTACCAATTTTGGATTTGGAGGGCATTCATCATGCCGACAGATAGGTCCTCAGGGACCGCTACCCTCTTGACAGTAGAGGGCTCTTGTAAATTTTTGTAGCCTCCCTCCACTACTTCAGGAAAGAGAAACTAACAAGGATGCCTTTCTAAACATATAAACATGTAATCTACTGGAAACAGATGCCTGCTCCCACCAGTCCTGCCCATACCTGAAGAAGCAGCTCACATATGGCTTCATGCTGCTATACATGAGCCTCCGTTCGTCAGGGAAACGTATGCTGTAATCACCTGATTTCTGAAGCCTAGCTAAATATCTGGGATAGCTTTGGAGTCTTCTTCTGGCAGGAAGAGCCACAGTAGATAGCTGTGCACCACTGTTTAGAGCAGTACATCCATACCATATTCTTTACACCGCTGCCAAGAACAGCCTTGGTTTTAATCAGATTACTTTTTTTCTCCTGATATAGCTCTTCCTAGTGCAAGCACTCTAGCATACTGTCTGGGTACCTGAGAGAGTAACAGCAATCAAATAATTAATGGCAATGAGTATGTGAACAAGCACCAATTCTGACCAATCTACAAACCTCAAATACTTCCTGTGTGCTACACGGATCTCTGTAGGTCAAGAGACACGAACTAATTTCCTGACTACAAGGAGGAAATTATGGCAGCTAGTCACGCAAAAGATGTCACATTTCTTTGGCTCCACAATCAGTTAACCATTCCTTTTATTTTCAAGACTGGGAGGTAAACAGCAACAGATTCTCTTCCTTGATGATGGGAGAGATGATCCCTTCGAGAGAAAAGAGGAAGGAGGAGACCTGAAGTAGTAGAGCGAAGGCACCACTGGGAACCTAACGTAAGTAGCTGAGACATCCTTAAAGACGCTTGAGTCCACACCAGAGCTTTTCTGCTCATGAAAGATCACACATACTTTAAGGGTTTACTAAGAGGGTGGATGACTGATTTTGGAATTAAATTTTAAATCCTTAAACAGTTTCTCAACTGTTTGATTATGCTGAGAGGTACGCAGAAAGGAGTCACTGAACAAGGGACAGGATCTTCATTTGTAGAACTGCTAGGGGATTTTCAGCTTGCTCAGCATCTCTATTGCAGAATTTAGGGCTGCCAGGCTGCTGGATAACTCCAGCAAGTGCAACTTGCTGCTCTTCCATTTAAACTCTTGCACAAATATTAAAGGACGAATTAGTGATCTGGAGTCCTCCAGGACAGCCACAGAAACCCATCAGTCATTCTGGCATTGATCCCGTCTATCCCCGACTCTTGCACAAATATTAAAGGATGAATTCGTGATCTGGAGTCCTCCAGGACAGCCACAGAAAGCCATCAGTCATTCTGGCATTTGTCCTGTCTATCCCTCCAGTCATTTCTAAAAAAATTTAGAATTCACAGACAAAACCTAATTGTGATAGCTGGAAGAAGAGTTCCAAGGCCACTGCTGTGATCAGACAAGAAACCGCACCAGCCTTTGAGAGACACCTGCCCATAGAGTGCTTTCTGCCAGCGTTCTGCATCATCTCGCTAACAGTAAAGGCAGCTTCTTTCTGCACTCCAACTGAAGCTTGTCCACAGAGGTGAGTCCAGAACTGCAATTCCACAAATAAAACCTTTGTTTTCCCCCACCTTTCATATGTGGCAGCTCCTGCCCTGCCTCCAGTCATTTCTAAAAAAATTTAGAATTCACAGACAAAACCCAATTGTGATAGCTGGAAGAAGAGTTCCAAGGCCACTGCTGTGATCAGACAAGAAACCGCACCAGCCTTTGAGAGACACCTGCCCATAGAGTGCTTTCTGCCAGCGTTCTGCATCATCTCGCTAACAGTAAAGGCAGCTTCTTTCTGCACTCCAACTGAAGCTTGTCCACAGAGGTGAGTCCAGAACTGCAATTCCACAAATAAAACCTTTGTTTTCCCCCACCTTTCATATGTGGCAGCTCCTGCCCTGCCCCAGGGGAAAGAGGCCAGATAACTAAAACCTCTGCCTCCCTTTCATAAAGGAATATGTAAATCCAGACACCCTTAAAACGGCCATTTCAGAGCTGAGAAAAATTTTTTTGCACTATTAAAGAACTAAAACCTCTGCCTCCCTTTCATAAAGGAGTATCTAAATCTAGACACCCTTAAAATGACCATTTCAGAGCTAAGTATTTTTGCACTATTAAAGGAAACAAATTACACTGCCTTTTTGCATATAACAGTTATATGTGAAATGAAAACATAAAATGAAAAGCTGAGAATTTGCTGCAGCCTGTAAGCAGCAATAAGCTCACACCACCTGAAAAAGGCAGGGACAGTATGATGGGCAGCTCTGGTGCAAAGCATCAGCTGTGACACTGCATGTAGACAGATAATGCTGTCCAAAATAATGTTTTCACATAAGGTACACACACCTACATTGAAATGTTCAAACAACTGTTCAAATTATGAATGTATCTCCTTTCATCAATAATTTAATCCTAAGGCCTTCTCACACACTCCTCATATAAACTATGCTAGAGAAGGCTTCTAGATTGTTTATAACAGAAAGACACTGATAAGAGAAGCAGACCACTCTCCTCCTGTAAACATGTTTACTTTTTCTCCCTCACATGATATCCAACCCCCCCTAAGGATGTAAAATCCATCAGACCCCAGGTAAGAATTTTAACATCTTTCAAAACCTCATCCGGTGAGCCTGAGGAGATCTAAACATAAGGAGTTTGTCTGCTAGTGCCATCATGGAAGCAAACAAGCTGCTTGCATAACTGCAAAGAACAAAAGAGCATCTGTCAAAACACTTCTCTGTTTGGTCTTTACATTATGAATCAAGCTGCAAGCAGAGCTGCCTTCAAACAGTCAATTTCTCACTTCACCTCTCAGATGCTCTGTTAGCTCTTCCTTGTCAGTGTGCTGGCGATCAGACTGCAATGTGACTTTTAGGCTTTCCTGCAATATAAACCTCCAATGGCTGGCAGAGTGTGATTAAATACCACGTGCTGCTAATTACTACTGGTTTTCTATCAAATCTGCTTCTTCAACAGGAGTTAGAGCAAAAAGGACTGAAGACAGCATCACCGGTCACTGGCTGCTGCCTGCTGTGCAGGAGATGGAGTAGGCTATGGATATTTGCCTCATTGTTTATTAGTTCAGTTCTTTCACTCAAACAGCACATCCCTCCAAGGAAGAGGCTGGAAAAACGGCCACAGCCAGACTAGTTAAAAAAACAAAACAAAACAAAGCATGACAAGAACAAGAGAGGGAATAAAATTCCCTTCCCTTTGTTGTCTGACCTCCACCCAAAGTCCCACCACTTGCCTCCCCTAGCCTAGTTAATTTTCAACCCTGTCATCTTGCCAGATGGAATCCACAACTGTACAGTTTAGGCTGACGGGGGATAAGAGCAGTGAACCACCTAATCAGCCAACACTAAATTTCTTCCTCATCAAGCCCTGCAGAAGGTCTACAGGCAGACTTTGTCCTCAGGTTACCGATCTTTAAACATCCGCTGCAGGCCATTCCCAGAAACAGGATATCACATCAGCCAGACCTTTGTTATGCCTTCATGTTAAGTGAGGCTTTCTCAGGCTTTTAATATTTGGGAAGTACTGAACATGTATATTGCATTATGTAATTTTTAGATAGCAAAATTTAGAAACGTGTCAACCGCTAAAACTGATAGTTAAGCAGCGGTTTTTTTAACATAAAAGGAAGAGAATGTTTGATTGCTAAAAAGACATTAAGTGAATCACTTTACTTGACTCTCTAAATTCGTGATCAGCTTGAGCCCAAGCTGAAAACGTCCACATTTTGAAGCCCTGGGCTAAAATCACACTCAGTGTTAGTGAAATAAAACTGCCCTTAGGTGGTTTCACTGCATTAGATCTCCATTCTCCTGCATCTGTGAGTTACAGTAGCTGCACTTACATGCCATCACTACAGAGCTGCCCTTGCTGTACTATACCACTTCTTGATGGGACCAAGATACCATCCTATCCTGCATAAGTACATAAATCCATTTCATTTCAGCCCTATTTTGTAGTCTAAAACATGCTATATTGGTCAGGTTGTATACCTTACCTTTACATTCTGAAGAGAAGCCAGCTCAACAGCTTTTTGAGCCAAAGTTAGCAAATTGGCTTCTTGAGAAACACGTCGTCTCCTTCGTGTGCTCTGGATTACACCACCTCTGACACCCTGAAAATCATTAGTTCTCTCAGTGTTTTCTTCAGCTGCTGCTGCCTGTTTCTCCCCATCTCCACCATTCTGGGCTGTGGCTTGCCTCTCTGTTTCCATCTGGCACAGCTCGCTATTGAGCAGGACATCCTTCTGCCCCAGATCCAGTCTCTTGGGTTGCAAAAAGCTACTTTTATTGTGAGCCAGTGATTCAGGCAGCTGCTGTAATGGGACCTCTTGCTGATGTGTTTGCCAGGGATGCAGAAATAAATTGCTAGGTTGTTCTTCTGCCTGCTTGGAAGCCAACGCTTCTCCTGCAGATGTCAGCACGGCACCTTCTTTGGAAAGTCTCCGTGACCTTCTCGGAAAGGGAATCTGGGTCTGAGGTAGCACAGTCTGTTGGTTCTGCTCAGTTAGAGCCTTGAACAGTTCCTGGTTCCTCTCTGTTTGCTGGAACTGGTGTGCCATCATGTGATGCTGAGGTGCCGCAGCTGCCACGTGAGGCTGTGCCATGGAAGTAGTCTGCTGCAGCCCGAAGGCTTGTGTGGCAGCCTGTTGCTGCTGCTGCTGCTGCTGTTGAGGATAGAAATTTTCAAACAGTTGTAGCTGGGGAAGAGCTTGCTGTTTCTGTTGAGCAGTAAATGCTGGACTGGAAGAAGCTGGGGCTTCTTGAAAGACGTGTAACAGTTCAGGAAGACCCTGCTTTTGGCCTTGGTGACCAAATGCAAGTTGGAAAGGCTGTAACGGCAGACTTTGATTCTGCTGCTGCTGCTGTTTCTGCATCTGATGGAAAGAATTCATTTGAGCTTGCTGTCTAACCAAGGCTTGTTGTTCCAGCTGAGCCTTCTGGGACATCATCTGCTGGACAGCATCTCCATACAAGTCCAGCTGTTGCACAAACACTCCTTTCTCTTGATTTCTTTTAAGGGCATCTGGGTGGCCATAGAAGCCTGGGGCACCAGCATTGGAGTGAGGTCCTTTTGGGTTGCCCCCAAAAACCATACTGTGGTTCCACATCGAAGGTGGAGACTGCCAGTGGCTGTCACCCCTCTCTGGCAACCGGTTTCCCATTAGTGAATTCTGCCATTTGACAGCTGTTACCGCCTGGGACATCATCATTGATTCTCCCCTATCTTGACTGTAAACAGAGTTCATCAAAGCAACATTGTTGGGGACACTTGTTAATCCTCCTGCGTGAGAAATCTCCACAGTTTGGGAGGCCTGGATATTCCCTCCGTGACCATAGTACTGTCCTTCCTTGAGCTGCTGCTGTGGTTCTTTAGACACAGCTATTTCCTGCTCATTGAAATAGGCAGTTCGTTTCCCAGTCCTTTTGCTTGAAGACTTTTGCTGAGCCTGTAGATTCATGGTTCAGTCTATTCTCCCAGCTGCACAAACCGTATTTACAATCCACCCATCCCTGAGGTTGGGGGAGGAAAGGCACAGAAGTCTCTCTTTTCCATTCAGTTTTAGTAATAAAGGGCAGGAAAGAAGTCCAGAAGAAAGTGCATCCACTTCCTTTTTCTTTGCGTGCTTCTCCTGCTTCTTTTCACTCTTATCCTTTGTGGTTCAGAGGTCAGTAGGGTCCACTCAGTTACAGGTCCTGAAATAGAGAAGCAATTGCAGTGAATCATCAACAGACATTACTGGCATATAAACCCTCACGCGATAGGCAACAACGCGGATGCCTGTCCCATCTCCCCTGTAAATGAACGTCAGGATAATATGTGTAAGAAACAATAGATCTGATCTGCTGGAAGAATGTAAAACAAAACAACTTAAGTTTTACAAAACAGATATCACGCTATATATGCATGATGCAACTCCCAATTGCCCAGACTTCTGACTAAGCACTCAAGCTCATTCTGAAGGTTTTTTCTCTTAAACTCCCTCTCATCCAGCCAATTACTTCTACGTCTTCCTGTAGCTAGAATAATCTGTTTTTAATCTGAACTCAAAAACAGAAATCAAAGAAAAACTTACGACTCCCCAAAAGAAAAAAAAATAAAAATGAACCAGACCACGTTTCCCAAAGCCATTTAAAACACTCAGGGGCACGGGAAGGCTGCAGCCAAACACACAGTAAGATGCTCCGTTCAGTGCTTTGAAGGAGAGGCTCAGGCAGCAGCCCATCATTCACCTTCCCTCTCCCAATCATTACACTTGCTTTCCAACTAAGAACCACCCACCAAGCATCCAAGCACTGAAGTCAGGGACTGCATAACCTGTTGCCCTCCTAGATGCTTCCTTCAACAGCTGAGAGCAACTGCTCCTGCTCAGGTCACACATGGAAAAGTAGTTGAGGCAGATTGTTACAGGTACTCCAGGACACCAGCAAATATCTAGTACTGTAAAGCTGCACACATTACAGGAGAAAGCCTTTCCAGAACATGCAGACTAGGAAAATTCTACCCTCGTCCTCCGCAGAACAAAGCTATCCACAAACTTGGGCTTTAGGAGTCTGGTTTGCAGGATTAAAGTCTAACATGTTAACACATACACCAGATTTCTAGTAGCACACTTAAAACCTCTTAAGATTACTGTTAATTTTAATTAAATTCTTAAAACTACTAACAATCAAGTAATTAAGTCTCTATTACTATCTCTTTTCAATATGCACTCTGTTCCACTTCAAACCACACTGCCAATATATTTCAGAAAGATTTTAATAAATTGTTAAAAACCTATTCCTACTGCATCCCTTCTGTTATAAAATCAAGTTTCTCGTGAGTGGAGCAGGTAAGACTAACACCTACATCCCCTCCAATGAAACCTACAACCCATTTCTCTCTCCTTATAAAATTAAAAAGAATAAAACAAAAGCATAGAGCACACCAAACTCCTGCAACCTGAGTTTCCTCCAAACGGATATGGCTACAGTGCAGATTTTAATACTGGGGTGGGGTTGGGAGCACGAGGAGGAAAAGACAAAGGGTTTAAATTAACTTACGCAACTTCCACCTCAGAGGCCAAGCTTGGCTTCAAGGCTACTGGAACCATGGGCCTGTGTTTCAGAGTGGAGTGAGTCACTTCCTCAGGCTGTTACAGAGCTGTTCCCCCCACGCTCCCCCTGCTTCGCCCTCCCTACAAGCTGTGGACCTCTGCCGCCCCGTATCACGGAGCCAGGGCGTTTCTCCCTCCTCCAAGCACAACGTCTCAGCTCGTTTTCCAGTCCTCTTTCAACAGGACAAAAATAACTCTAGGAGAAATTATGGACACGTGAGATGGAAAATTCTCTCTAAACTGCAACCAGTACACAAATGAAGATTTCATAAAGTAAGTTTTTCCTATTTCAAAACTTCATTAGGAGGGGAAAAAACATCCTACAGCAGGAAACTGGATGGCTGGTAGCAAAAATGCAGAGATGGGAAGGCTGCTATATGCCTTTCAGGAGCATTAATGTTACTCTCTCCTTGCTTTTTGCAGCACTGCTGCAAATGTGAGAGAGCTGTCAGCTAAACCACGATACCTGAGATAATACTGTCAGAAACCACGGTCAGTAGTATCTTACTTTCTGGAATCACCACAAGCTACTTTTCTCTCCAAAATAGACAACCTTGTAGCAGTTTTCCTTCCGTCGATGCTTCTGCATGCTTCTGTATTGATCAGTTGCATAATTCTGATAAGCATTATCAGAATTAAAGCATGCAAGGTTTCCTATATATCAGAAGACATAACCTCTAGGATCAAATTTAAACCTGCCAGACAACCTTTAGAAACTCTGCTGCAGATTTTTTACAGTTTGAGGAAGAATGCAAAGATAACTGCCTAAAATCTGGCATACAACTTCAAGGATCCTTTTTTTCAACCCTTCTAAAAAAACCAAACCAAATCAAAGAAACCAACTAAGCAGCTGATGCTTAGTAGTGGTGGCCAAGATTTTTAACACACAAGTATCTAGAAGACCTTTAGAAAGAGGGCTCTCAGGTTAGTGAGAGAGCATTGCATTAGTACAGCTCTCTGAACTTCCACTTGTGTGGACTTTGGCCCTGTTTTTTCCATTACTTATTCCATTAATAAGAAGCCACCAGCATTGCAAAGGCTAACTCAGCCCAGTCTAGAACTGCACCTCTCTAGGAAAGAGATGTAACTAAAGTATTAAGATGCAAAGTTTACCAAAATGTAAGTTCAGAGAGAACCTAAAGGAGAGAAAGGACTACGTATGTACTTGTGTGCTACATAAAGGAAGTCCTAAAAAATACTATACACCTCTTTGGGAAGTTACCTTGTCATTTGAGAGGACTAATAATTGAAGAACAACTGAAGTTAAACCAGCACAAAAATCAGGGTAGTGAAAGTGACATTACCAGGGAGGGAAGAGATTTAAGGTACATTGAACAAAACATGCTTATTGAACATTCCAGCTCTCCCAGCTGCATGAAAAAGAAATAAATCCTAACTAAGGAGATCACCAAGAAAAGAAGAAAAAGAGGATTTGGTGCATCCACTATTAGATGGTAGAAGATAACATTATAAAATTAACTCTTTAAAATTTCTTTCTGTACAGACAAACTGCAGAAAAGTATCTTGTAGGATATCCTAACGATAAATAGTCCACAGCTTAAGATCAAGCGATAGATGTTCAAGCTGCAGCATGACTATGCTCCAGGAAAGCTCACACTTGGCAGCTGCCCTTGGCTGAGCACTGCTGGCTCTATGACTAAGCAGGCTTCCCTCCCTGAGGTTGAGGGATGAGCTCACATTATCATCATCCTAGCCAATTACCAGCTTTGGGGTTTTTTTGTTTTGTTTTACTTTAATTTCAGCACAAGAGTCAGCCTGCAGTAGCGCAGTAAAATGGCAAGATGCTTCCAGGCTGAAGTGTGTTTTGGAGCAGTCTGCCCCTGACCATTTCTTACCTTTGAATAAAGCACAGAGCCAGTTCTCATACCCCAATTCCCAGAAGATACTCTCTCTGGTCTCCAAATACACTGAAGTGTTACAATACTTTGCATTGCTTTTACACTGCACAGAGAAAAAGCAGAACCCAGCATCAGTATATTCTGTTTTAATAACTCTAAGATTTGGCACGCAACATCATCAGTTATTTTCACTTCCAGAAACCTCTGGCAGGCAAGAACATCTCTTCAGCTTTCTTCAGATGAATACAATTTGTATGTCACCTCCTTTAATACTGTAAATACTTTCAGATTTCTAGAAATTTTTCTTATTGCAGAGCTTTCTCTTCTAGATCTAAAAAGAACGTCAAATTAGATAAACAAATACCCAAAGGCACTTATGCAGTAATTTCTGGAATGAAAAAAACGTAAACAAAGTAACTTATGGCACCTTACTGAGAGAAGTTAGGGTTTGCATTTTTAGCTAAAACTTCTCAAGCACTTCTGCACTAAAGCGTTAAAAAAAATCATAAACACATAAAACACCACAAGGGCTAGATTTAGGCAAAGTCTCCTGAAGGACTTACTTAAGTACTCAAGAAGAGTGAGGAGGAGTCTCTGCCTGGAGCCAGGATGCTGTTCTCAAATTAATAAAGTTCCTTATCTGAGGAGTACAGGGCACAGGCACTCGGAGCCACTCACGAGGCTGGTACCAGCCCTGAGCACCCATGGCAGATTTTACTCAACGCAAAGTAGGCTCTGCAGAATCATTTAAAGATCCCTGTCTATTGCAACCATCTTGTCCCAGTTTATCATTAGCCTGGAGATTTTGCTACAAAACCTTTAATTTAAAAAAAAATAAATTATAAAGTTAAAAGGCTATTTGATTTAGAGGACAAATTAAAAACACTCAATGCAACCATTGCAACCATCTTGTCCCAGTTTATCATTAGCTGGAGAGTTTGCTACAGAACCTTTATAATTTATTTTTTTAATTAAAGTTAAAAGGCTATTTGATTTAAAGGACAAATTAAAAACACTCAATACAACCATTTAATACAAAATATCTTTATCTTCCTTTAAAACTATTTGACTGTATACTTAAAACCACCCACCATTATTCCATTTCTTTAAATATTCTCTTCACTAAGTATGTGCATATTTGCACAATTTCACACATCAAGTTCATGACCTCACACACTGTGGTAACCTTAAACTCCACTCTTCAGCCCACCTGCTGAGGGCTCTGCTCTCCTGTGCCTTGCTTGGTTCATTTGCTACACCACCTGCACCTGGCACAATAAGCAAGTTTAAATTTTGCACATTCCTAACCTCCTTTGAGATCATTTGCACAAAATTGTCTCTGACAGAATGCTGCAGAAATGACTCAGGAACAACTCTGACTTCTCCTCAAACCTCAGCAAAGTTAAGGATGCAGACAATAGTGAGCAGTCGCAGACCATCTTCTATTTCACTCCTTTAACCTCAGCTTCTAAATACTTCTGTTTTAGGGTTTTTTTGCACGCGAAAATTAAGAAGTGTTCCTGGGTTCTAGCTAATGTACATTTTCAGCCTTAACTGCAACAATGCTGTCAGTTCCTTACAGGAAATCTGTCAAATTAGAGTGATGAGAGTCATTTCTCACTAAATCCTCCTGCTGTCAGCAACTCAAATTACTGATCTCCCCTGTAAGAAGCTCAATCACTTTTAATGAAGATGAACAGATTCCAAGAACAATTTTTACATTTCAGCCAAATGCAGCAAG